ATATATATATATATATATATATATATATATATATATATATATATATATATATATATATACACGCATGTATATATATATATATATATATATATATAACTCCAGCGATACAGACACTCCATGTAGCCAGCTAGCTAGCTAGCTGGCTGGCCGCTAGCTAGCATTGCATATGCCTTGTGAGCTCTTAAAGGGACGGAGAGATGGCGTTGTTCGAGGGTTTTTAGGGTTTAGGGTTTAGGGTTTATCCCACGCTGTCAAACCCTAAACGCTAAACCCTAAACCGTAGAGCATATTTTCATTGTAGAGGCCAATACTTATACTTGCGAACGAGTTGAAGAGGAGTAATTCTTTCCTTTCTGCTGGGGTTAAGAAGACTTCCTACAACTTGACACCAGAAGGGAGAGACACCTGCTGCAGCTAGCTGAGAAGCAGGAGAAGGTAACGATTGCAATATCGCTGCACTTGTTCTAGGATTATTATCAACATCAAGATTAGCAAGAAAAGGAGTAAGCTGTTTGCTGCTGTGGAGTTTATAAGGTGCAGCAGCACCGTCGACGAAGAGAAGAAAGCAAGTGAAGCCCACAGACCAAGCATCATAGGCAGGATTTGCTGTTGCTGCTGCTACTGCTGCTTCTGTTGAGGCTGCTGCCGCACCACGATGTTGCTGCTGTCGCAGCACACAAGATGCATGCGCTGGATCCATATAAAAAGGCGTATACTTTTCATTGCATTTTCTTTTTTCCCCCGTTCGACTCGTCATACCGAAGTCTGCAAGATACGTTTTTCCTTCTTTATTAATTAGAAGGTTTTCAGGTTTTATATCAAAGTGGCAGATGCCTGCTGCATGCAGCTTTGCTGCAGCATCAATAAGCTGTTTGCATGCAAATGCTTTTCCTTCTAGAGACAGTTTTGCTGTAGCAGCAGCATAAGGGCTTTGGTAAAGAAGAAGAGTTGCATCTCCAAGCATTACTTCTGATAGAAGCACGCGTTGTAGGAACACAAAATCTTTATATGCGTATACACTTCCTGCTGCTTCTCCTATTCCTTCTCCTGCTGCTCCTGCTGCTGCTTCTTCTCCTTCTGCTTCTCCTGCTGTTGCTGCTTCTGGGGGGCCTACGGTTGCTTCGTATAGCGGCAATGCCCATTGATTTGCTGCAGCAACAGAACGAGCGGAGGGAGGCTGTCTCCTTCTTCTTGCTGCTGCTGCCGTTGCTGCTGCTAATACTGCTGCTGCCTCTTCTGCCCCTTCGCCTGCACCAGCGGCACCAGCACCAATGCCTTGCAGCGGCTCTAACTCCTGAACAAGAAGGTCTGTAAGGCTTGCTCCGACTGCCTTTAGCAGCTCCTGACGTTCCTGCTGCAGCAGCTGCGCCTGTTGCTGTTGCTGCTGCTGCTGCTGCAGCTGTTGCAAGTGCTGCTGCTGCTTCTGCAGCCCAGGTATATGATTGAACATGAGTTTAAGAGCGAGCTCTTTAGTGTTTAAAACAGCAGCATCTGCCGCAGCAACAACACCAACCGCTAGAACAATGCCTGTGCCCCCAACTCCAAGGATCCGCAACTCTGTTAGTCTGCAGCGCTGCAGCAACTGCTTTCCTGATAATGGATCACGGATATTGTTTATAATTATTTCTTTCTTTGAGGGGTCTTCTCCGCTCATTGCAATGAGGGCATCGCGAGCGACAGACTCCACCGGATGCTGCTGCTGCTGCTGCTGCCGTGTTTCTGTTTTATCTTTATCCTGTTCCTTAACATTTAAATTATATTTCATTACTGCAACAGTTTCGCGCTGCAGTCTAGTTTGCTGCTGCTGCTGCTCTTCTGCTGCAGGCGCGGGGACAGGTTCGGGGAGACCGAAATCTCCTGCTGCTGCTCTTTTTGCTGCTGGTGCTGCTCCTGTTGCTGCTGCTGTTGCTGAAGGCGTCGTTCCAGCTGTCTCTCCAGAAGACAAACGGAGAGCCCCTAAACCCAAATCGCCTAAGCGAGGGGACTCCCCCGGCTGCTCGGGCTGCTGCTGCTGCTGCTGGGGCTGTTGCTGCTGCTGCTCCACGGGCGGCGCTGCTGCTGCAGGGGCTTGGCGTAGCATCCGCTGCTGCTGCTGTTGCTGAGGGATATATTGCCTGACTGGTTGCTGCGCCGCTGCTGCTGCAGCAGGGGGGAGGGGTCTACCGAGTGCTGCTGCTGCTGCTGCTGCTGCTGCGTTACCCGCTGCAGCAGGAGGAGACACCGGAGGCTGCAGATATTTAAAGGGAGAACGACGCAGCACACGACCCATGAAGCCTGTTGCTGGAGATCTGTCTCTGAGTCTTCCGTACATCTCGCCGAAGCGTTGCCGCCGCTGCTGCTGCTGCTGCTCCTGCTGCTGCTGCTGGGCGGCATTAGCACGAAGCCGGGGGCTTAAGGGCCTCACGTTAATCCGAATGCCCTTGCGGGGCCCCAAGAAGGAAAAAGGAGTGAGCTGCTGCCGCGGCTGCTGCTGCTGCAGTTCATTGCTAGCTTGCAGCAGCACCGATGATGAAGTAAGCCAAGGAGACAGAGAAATGCTGTCTCCTTTCTGCAGCAAGGAGAGAGCAGCAGCAGGCGCTGCCAGCAGAAGGAGAAGGAGCTTCATTGCAGTAGAAAGAAGAAGGATAGAATAAAGAGGAGAGAAAAGGAAGGAAAAAGAAATAAAAGAAAAAGAAGAATAAAGATAAAACACGAAGAAGAAAAGGACGAAGAAACAACAAGAGAGAAACGAAGGTAAGGAGAAGAAAACAAACAACGCCGGAGTTAGTGCTGTTACTTTAATCAAAGAGAAGAAATAAGCAGATATAAACGAAAGTCGAGACAGAGAGACAGAGACAGAGAGACAAGGAGATTCTAGTGAGAGAGGGGCAAGGCCTGCTACAGTAAACAGCAGCAGCAATAGCAGTAAGGCTTGCTGCTGTTGCTGCTGGTTCTACGAAAGGAGACTGCAAGGCAGCTGCTACTCTGCTGTTGTGGATGGTGTATTGTTGCTGCTGCAGCGAGCAAAGAAGAAGAATAACAACAAGAATAAAGAAGAATGCGATGAAAAAGAAGAACACATAGGTAGCTGTTGCTGTCATAAGAAGAAGAAGGCAGCTGTGGCTGTCGAGTGCCCCCGGGTGAGTTGCTGCTGCTGTTGCTGTTAACTGCTGCTGCTGCTGCTGCTGCTGCTGCTGCTGCTGCTCTTGCTATTGTTGGGGTTATTTTTAAAATTTTTCGTCAAAAGTTTGAAGCTATTCACTATTAATCAATTTAAATGATATTTTAAACATTTTAATTCTCCTCCATGCAGAAAATCCCCAAAACACTGCCGATGAATCGATGCAGTGGAGGTCACTGCCGTCGGCAGCACAGCAGCACGATGTACTGCTGCTGCTGTTGCTGCTGCCGCCGTTGCTGCTGCTCTTTTTTTGCTTTCTTCCCTGTACTTTTCTGTTGTATTTATTAATTGTGGTGTTTTTGTTGCACTATTTTACTTAAGTAGCAGAAATAACTGCAAGTATGGCTGCGCATACGCCGCAAGGAGGTGACCGGAGTCGGGCGCGCCTTTTCAGTGTACGCAGCACTGAAGAGACAGCAAATACACGAATAAATTGAAATTAAATTAACTCATTAAATATTTAAATGAATTAAATTACAGATATATGCCTATACTTTTTGTGTAGCCGCAGCACTACAATGGCCTCTGACGATCTCCTTATGGACAAAGCCCAATATAAGAAATATTTATTACTTACTTAAGAGCCTTTCGAGCAAATCTGCAGCCCATTAGCCTACGAGGGACCACAGCCCTTAGAGCATTGGGGCCGGCGGGCCCGCGAAGGCTCCTCCCTTAGGGGGGTCAGGCGAGAGGCAGAACCGCCCATTGGGACGTTTGGCGCTAGATATTTAGAATGCAGTTATTGCGTGCAGTCTCTATGTATATATATATATATATATATATATATATATATATATGTAGATACACTTCTATATATATATGTACATATAATATATATATATATATATATACATATATATTTATGTATGCATACGCGCATATATATATATATATATATATATACGTCTGTAACAGAAAGGGTTTTTTTTCTTACCCAACTGTGTAGCAGGAGGAACGGCCGTTTGAACCCTCTAAGTCGAAGGTGCAGGTGAGATCTGTTCAGTATGCCTTGCTGCGACTGCTGTGTGCATTGTTTATATTCTTTCCCTTTTGTTTAATAATAAAAAGAAAATGAATATTTTTATAAATACATCTATTAATATTTAAAACTAACTCTGTTCCTAAATCTAGAGACGCCGAGAGAATAGGCAAAACGTCCCCTTTATACTTTATATTTATATCTACTTTTATATGGATATAAAAGTAGATATAAATATAAATATAAAGTATAAAGGGGACGTTTTGCCTATTCTCTCGGCGTCTCTAGATTTAGGAACAGAGTTAGTGTTAAATATTAATAGATGTATCTATATTTATGTTGTTCTTTATTTTTATGTACCTACATCTATATTTATATTTATATGTGTAGTTAATATTATATATCTGCATCTATATATATGACTACATCTTCCTTTGTATTTATATCTAAACATAGTTGCGTAATATAAACAAAAAGAAAGAAATGTAGATATCCTTTAAATATCCAAATGTTATATATATATATATATATACATATATATATATATATATACATGGAACATTATAGATAAAAGAAAATAAAACATAAATGCCCTCTAACTGGGCAAGGAGGCGTTTAGATGGATATTTAAATTTTAAATAAATGAAAGACAACAAACATAAATATTCTTCAAGTAGACATATATGTCTCACTATACATATATATGTATATGTCTTAGCATTGCATGCATTATATTATTTATAATAAATCATATACTTTACAATCCTTACTATATTGTATATATATATATATAAAACAAAAAAGTAGAGACAACAGAAGAAAAGTGTTGTCCCTACACACACTGCGCAAATAAAGAGAAATAAAATATCTTCGCTGTCGTATGGTTGGGTAAATAAGCAAACAAACATAAAACAAAAAAAGAGATAAAGAGACAGACAGAAAAAGAGACAGAGGAGGCAGACAGATAAAGAGACAGAGAAGGAAACAGGAACAGAAACACAGAAAGAAGAAGAGAGACAAAGAGAGAGAGAGACAGACATATAGAATCACCTGTCTCCATGTCTCCATCGTGCGTTGCTTCATCAAATAAGACCGAAAAGACGGCAGCAGCAAGGAGACAGACAAAAGGAGACAGTGGAGACCAGAAAGGAGACACTAGACATGGAAAATGAAATAAAAAAGAAAAGACAGATAATAGATCAATATTGGATCCCCAGCTTTTGGCATATGCTCTCCACTGAAGGCCTTGCATGAGAGTCTGTGTTTAACAGCGCACCAACAGCGTCAGCAAGCGGCTTGGACACCCCTCTGCGTCGAAGGTCTTCACTAGGACTGCCGAAGATATTGTACCCCCTTCCTGTATGATGATGTCTACGCGAGCCGCCTCTCGGTGAGTCTAGCTCAGACAGCTGCTCCAGAACTGAGCCATTAGGGTTTATCCCATACGGAAAGCTTCCCCCACTTAACATGACATATGCTGTTACCCCTGTTGCCCAAGCATCATAGGTTTTTTTTAATTCTCTTGATCTCCTTTTTAGTGCACAATCTGCTGCACGAGGCTCCATATACAGCACAGTGCCGTTGTAACAACTTCGTGTCTCCCCTAGAGGACCAGCTAAGCCGAAGTCTGCAGTATAAGGAACTCCTGAAGGACTTATTAATATATTCTCCGGTTTTAAATCCATATGCCCAACTTGCAGGCTATTTAAGGCAGCAACACTACCCATGAACACTGCACACAGATACTCCATTGCCGACATAGAAGGACGGAGAAAGGTTAGGCTTAGTCTGGTGGTTGTGTTTTTGCTATTCATAGTCACAGTTGAATCTCTAGGAGTCAGCAGAGACGTTGCATCTCCTAACATAACCTCAGAAAGAACTACCTTACCGTGGAACCCAACTCTCCCGACCAAGAGAAGGTCTTCCTTAGAGGCCTTTGGCGCTGGTGCTGCTACTGCGGGTCCTGCTCCTCGCAGCCTCTGCTGCTGCTCCCCCTCGTCGTGCTGCTCTGGCTGCCCATTGGGATTGCGTAAAGAGGCTGTGAAGAGTGGCATGGCCCACTGATGCCCTACAGCAATGTTCTGTGTGGTTAACTCTCCTCCTGCTGCACCCGCTCCACTTCCTCTTCTAGCTCTTCTTAAGATTCTCTGCACTCCCCCTACCTCCGACTTGTAAATATCTTTTAACACTGCTCGCGCATGCTTTCTTTCATCTGGTGAAGGATCTGGAGAGTTCAGATGGAAGTAGGCCAGCTTGACAGCAACCGTTGTAAGGCCGAGTTGCTGCTGATCATCTCCATTCGACAGACGCATCTGTACTACAACTCCGTTGCCTCCAGAACCTAAAACCTTCTCTGATGTTAATTCAAGTTTGTCTGTTATAAGGGCTCCTGTACTGGCATCTCGGACGTCATAGAGACGCGCTCCCTTCCCACCTGCTGCTGTAGAAGCAAGTACACGAAGTGCTGCAGTACCAACAGGATCTGAAGAAAAAACAGAGGTGGTTCTACTCTTTAGGATTTCTTGCAGATGCGTATTATGCGCCGTTGCCGTCGCGACTTCAGCTAGATATTGTTCAGCCTGTTGGTCAGTAAACAAAGTGGGGGCAATACTTTTTACACTTGGTGCTGCTGCTGCTTCTTCTGCTGGAGCTGCTGCTGCTTCTTCTTGCTCTGTCTGTTCTGCTGTTTCTGCACTTGACGGCTCAGCAGCAGCAGCATCAGCAGCAGGTTGTCTTGCGGGCCTTTTAGGGCTGCCAACACGTCTTCCTCTTCGCAGTTTATGTGCTGGTGCTGCACCAGCAGCAGCAGCATCTCCAAATACCCTGCCCAGTAGTTTTCTTGCATTTTCCTTGTCTCTTTCTCGCTGCTGTTCATAATCCTCAATATTTCCTGAGATGTTTTTTAAGCGAGGAATTGCTTCAGCGAGAGGAGAAGATAGAGGGCGCGGAGGCCGATACTGCGGCCGTTGCAGGTCTTCAAGGTGCTCCATCAGGCGCTGTGAGGCTGCACCAAAACCAGACAGCAAACCCCCCCTACCTGGCGGAGGAACAGCAGGAGTAGCAGGAGAACCAGGAATAGGAGGGAACTCCAGTTGCCTCCGAATCTTATCCCTCTCCCTTTGCTCACGCTCCTGCCTCAGTCGAGACCCAGGGAAAATGGCCCCAAGCCCTCGCCGGAAAGGATTTACAGCAGCAGCAGCCGCAGCAGCAGCAGCACGAGCAGCATCCCCCACAGCCGCTTGCTGCCCCACTGCTTGCAAAATGGGGGCATGCCGCGCTAAACGTTCAAAATGATGGGCCTGGAGGAGAGCAGCTGGTGCTGCTGCATCAGGAGCGAGCAACCTGCTGCTGCCGTTGCCGCTGCTGCTGAGGGCGGCAGTGGAGGGCTTATGGTGGAGCCCGGAAGCAAATAGAGGAGCTGCTAGAGCAGCAAAAAGAAGCAGAAGCAAGTTCATTTTTATTTTAAAGAAGAAATAGAGAAAAATCATTCAGAAGACCACTGGTTGCCTCAGTCGAGACACCCAACTGCAGCAGCAGCAGGAGCTGCCGCAGCAGCAGCAGCAGAAACAGTGAAATATGCAAGAATAAGCTATCTTGAGCGCTAAAAACAATAAAATCTCCTTTTTATTTTTACCTAAATCATTCTAAAAGCAAGAAAAAGAGAGAAAAATAACAAATGCGATGAGAAAGAAGCGACCGAGCAGCCGCAGCAGCAGCAGCGACAGCAGCAGATCGGCGATAGCGGAGCAGCAGCAGCAGCAGCAGGAGCAGCAGCGGGGCCGGTGGTTTGTCGTGCTGCAGCATCTACCATTCTTTTTTATTTTTATTTCATTGAAATATTCCTCCTTCTCACAAATTAAAACAATTCTTTTCTTTATTTTAAAGAAAACAAAAAACGAGGCAGGGCAGCATCAGCAGCAGCAGCAGCAGCAGCAGGAGACAGGAGACAGGAGACGGCAGCACGAGAGGGATCACTTCATTCCAGCTGCTGTCTTCTCCTTTTTCTGCATCTACAAAGCAAACAACTTGCATAAAAAATAAAAGAAAAAATATAAAAGCTTAATAATTAACAACAAAAAATAAAACAAAAATATAAAGATAGGCGCCCCAACTGCACGTGGGGATTATCCGTGCAGAAAATATATCGAAGCCTCAGCAACTTGTTCATATTCCTGGCTAGCTAGCTAGCTAGTTAGCTACTGTTGCTGCTGCTGTTGCTGTTTCTTGCTGCTACGGTTGCTGCTGCTGCGGCTGTTGCTTCTGCTGCGGTTCCTGCCGTTGCTGCCGTTGCTGCTGCTGCGGTTACTCCTGCTGTTGCTGCTGTTCCGGCTGTTGCTGTGGCTGTTGCTGAGGCTGTTTCTGCGGCCGATTGTCTTGATGCTGCTAATCCTGTTGCTGCTGTTGCTGCCGCTCCTGTTGCTGCTGCTGTTTCCGCTGCTGCGCTTACTGCTACTGCTGCTGTTACTGCTGCTGCTGCTGCTGTTGCGGTTTCTGCTACTGTTGCTGCTGCTGCTGCTGCTCCTGTTGCTCCTGATGCTGTTGTTGCTGCTGGCCGCTCTTGTTGCTGCTGTTGCTGCTGCCGCTGCTGTTCCTGCTGCCGTTGCTACTGCCGCTGCTGTTCCTGCTGTTGTTGCTGCTGCTGCTCCTCTTGCTGCTGTTCCGGTTACTGCTGTTGCTGTTGCTGCTGCTACTGCTGCTGCTGTTGTTGTTGGTGCTGTTCCTGGTGCTGCTGCTGCTGCTACTGCTGCTGTTGCTGTTTCTTGCTGCTGCGGTTGCTACTGCTGCTGCTGCGGTTACTGCTGCTGCTGCGGTTGCTGCTGCTGCGGTTTCTGCTGCTGTTGCTGCTGTTCCTGTTGCTGCCGCGGCTGTTTGTGCGGCTGATTGTCCTGCTGCTGCTAATCCTGCTGCTGCTGTTGCTGCTGCTGCTCCTGCTGCTGCTGCTGTTTCCGCTGCTGCGGTTACTGCTGTTGCTGCTGCTACTGCTGTTGCTGCTGCTGCTACTGTTGCGGCTACTGCTGCTGTTGCGGTTGCTGCTACTATTGCTGCTTTTATTGCTACTGCTGCAGCTCTTGTTTCTGCTGTTGCTCCTGCCGCTGCCATTGTTCATGTTGCTGCTGTTGCTGCTGCCGCGGCTGGTCCTGTTCCTGCTGCTGTTGCTGCTGCTGTTGCTGCTGCTACTGCTGCTCCTGTTGCTGCTGCTGCCGCCGCTACTGCTGCTGCAGCTTCTGCTGATGCGGTTACTGCTGCTGCTGGTGCTGCTGCGCCTACTGCTGCTGTTGCTGTTTCTTGCTGCTGCTCCTCTTGCTGCTGTTGCGGTTACTGCTGTTGTTGCTGCTGCTTCTGCTGCTGTACCTGTTGTTGCTCCTGCTGTTGCTGTGGCTACTGCTGCTGCTGTTGTTCTTGCTGCTATTGCTGCTGCTGCGGTTACTGCTGCTGCTACTGCTGCTGCGCCTAGTGCTGCTGCTGTTGCTGCTGCTGCTCCTCTTGCTGCCGCTGCGGTTACTGCTGCTGTTTCTGCTGTTTCTGCCGCTGATGCGGCTGTTCCTGCGGCTACTGCTGGCGCTGGTGCTGGTGCTGCTGTTCCTGCTGCTGCTGGCGCTGCTGCTGCTACTGCTGCTGCTGCTCCTGGTGCTGCTGCTACTGCTGCTGCTGCTTCTGCTGCGGCTGCTGCTGCTGTTTTTACTGCTGCTGCGGCTACTGCCGATGCTGTTGCTGTTCCTGCTGTTGCTGTTGCTGTTCCTGATGCTGCTGCTGTTGCTGTTACTGCTGTTGCTGCTGCTGTTGCTGCTGCTGCTATTGCTGTTGTTGCTGTTGCTGCTGTTATTGCTGTTGCTGCTTTTGCTGTTCCTGTTCTTGTTACTGATGCTGCTCTGGCTGCTGCTGTTGCCGCTGTTGCTGCTGTTGCCGCTGCTGGTGCTGCGGTTACTGCTGTTGCTGGCTGTGCTGCGGTTATTGCTGCTGCTGTTGCTGCTCCTCCTCCTCCTGCTCTTTTGCTGCTGCTGCTGCTGCCTTTTTTTGCTTCTGCCGCTGCTGCTTCTGCTGCTGTTGCTGCTGCTTCTACTGCTGCTGCTGTTGCTGCGGTTACTGCTGCTGCTGTTCCTGCTGCTACTCCTGCTGTTACTGTCGCTGATTCGTGCTGCTGCTGCTGCGGTAACTGCTGCTGCTGTTGCTGCTACTGCTGCTGCTGCTGCAACCTAGCTAGCTAACTAATGGCTAGCTGCAGCAGCCCGCGCAGCTAGCTAAGAAGGGAACAGGGAACGGCGCAGGAACGACTCCTGCCCGCCTACCACTAGATAGCTGAATAGCTAGCTAGCTAGCTGGATAGCTAACTAGCTAGCTAGTTAATTAACTAGTAGTAGTAGGTATCTAGTTAGGTGGCTAGCAAAGCGTCTAGCTAGCTAGCCAGCTAGCTACCTGTCTTTCCAGCCAACTAGCGGCAGCAGCCACGCAACCAATACAGCATACACCAGCAGACTCGAAGTAGACAAACAAAAAAACAAAATTGAATTAAATTGAATTCAGATAAATTAATTTAAATTAAATTAAGCCAAATAAAACAAACAGTAATGCGTCACGGTCTTCAGTTCGCTTGCTGCCGATTCTGCTGCTGCTGCTGCTGCTGTTGCTGCTCTCGTTCGTGTTTCTGCATCTGCTCTTGCTGCTGCTGGTGCTTCTGCTGTTGTTGCTTGTGGCTGCGAGAGGGCCGCTGCTAAGTTCTGCTGGCCGTGCTGCTGTTGCTGCTGCTGACGAAGCAGCAGTAGAAACACTAGCAGCAGGAACAGCAGCATTCTGTTCTCGTTTGTTTCGCTGCGGTGTATCCCCAGCTGCTGCTGAGGCAGCAGCAGCACCTCCGCTAGCGGCCGCAGCAGCATTAGCAACAGCAACACTCGCAGCACTATCCAGCGCCGCACTAGCAGCAGGAGCAGCAGTACTAGTAGAAGGAGCAGCAGCACTAGCAGTGGCAGCAGCATCGCCACTGGCAGCAGCAGCAGCAGCAGCACCAACAGCAGCGTTAATGCTGCTGCATATATCTATTGATAATCATAGTTTGTTCTGGGCTCTTCTTCTTCATCTGCTTGCAGCGTACTTCTCAGCAAAATGCTGAGGCTGCCGATGCTGTCTTCTTTATTTATATTTAAAGGAAAGAAGGAAACCAAACTAAACTCCTCTAACACTGCAGCAAATGCTCGATGAAGAGCAGCAAAAGGACCCGGCATACTCTCCTGAAGTGTATAGACACCGCAAGTATAAACAAAAAACAATTCATAATTTCTTTTATTTTTTACTTTATTATACTTTATTGTCTTTTATTATACTTTATTCGTTTACTCTGTTCTATTGCTATAATAGGAAGACGCATCTACACGCAAACCCACTGCCACTTGAAGCAGCAGCAGCAGCAGCAGGAGTAACAGCAGCAGCAGGAGTAACAGGTAACATCAGCAGCAGAAGCAGCAGCAGAAGCGCTACCAGCATGAAGGTTAGGAGAAGGAGCAGCACACATAGCAGCTGCATCAACAAGGCAGCTGCAACAGCAGCAGCAAGAGCAAGAGCAGCAGCAGCAAGAGCAGCAGCAGGTGTGTACTTACATTGAGTTCTTCTACTACTTGCTGCACATCTCTGGAGAGAAGTTGGTGAAGAATTACTTCTTCTTCGTCTTCTTCTGCATCTGCATCGGCAACATGAACAGCAAACGCTGAGTTGTTCAAAGACCTGCTTGCCCACTGATGTCTTTCTTCTGCCTCTTCGTCTGTCTCTTCGTCTGTCTCTTCTTCTGTCTCTTCTTCTGTCTCTTCTTCGGTGTCTTCATCTTCTTCACTAACATTGCTGTCTCCTCTTGCAGCTGCAGCTGCTGCTGCTGCTTCTGTTTGCAGCATGGACCTCGAACTGCTGCTGCTGCTGCTGCTTGTATTCCCACTGCGTTTGCTGCTGCGTTTGCTGCTGCGTTTGCTGCTGCGTTTGCTGCTGCTGCTGCAGCGGTGAGCAATATTAACAGAATTAATAAGGTCACACTTAGTAAGGATGTTAATATGGGGCAGCTCAAAGAGCAGCATAGCATTAAGTGCAAGGAGAGACCCGCTAAGTGTCTTTGCTGCATCGCTTAAGAGATTAATATCTAAACAAAAGCCAACACAAAGACGATAGTCTTGAAGAAGAAAGAAAGAAAATAAATGCTGCAGAGCCTCCAGGTGTACGTACAGCTCAATCTGACCCGGTAAATCAAACAGCAGCAAATCATCTTCCGCTGTCTCCAACAACTTCTCCTCAAGCCACTCTTTATTTTTCTCTAAGTACTCAATGCAAAAGATAAGCGACCCATTCGGGCCTAGATTCATTGCTGCTGCTGCATCTTCTGCTTCTATTAACTCTCTTATATCAATATCTGCAGTATAAGGAATATACTCTGCTGCTGGGTCTAGATTTATACATACTACGCCTCGCCTGTTTACTTGCTGCTGCTGCTGCAGCGCAGCACATAATGTACTCTTCCCGCTGCCAGCAGGGCCCATCAATAATACGCCGTGACGCGGCATTCTCTCCTGCTGCTGCTGCTGATCCTCCTGCTGCTGCTGATGCTGCTGATGGGTCTTGTGCCGCTGCTGCTGCTGCTGCGGCTGGGGTGGGCTGGAGTTGGACCTTGGTGCAGCAGCAAGAGCAGCAGCTGAAGCTGCTACTCTTCTGCAGCTGAAGCTGCTGCTGTTGCTGCTGTGGTTCCTGCTGCTGCTGTTGCTGATGCTGCCCTCCGATTTGATGTCTGGCGAGATAGCAACCAAACAGCCCAGGAGACAGGGAGGCTCTGCTGCTGCTGCTACTGCAGCTGCTGTCTATCTTGCTGCTGTTGCTGTTGCTACTGGAGCTGTTTCTGTTGTTGGTGTTGCTGTTGCTGCTGTGGATGGTACTGCTGCTGGTGACGTTACTGCTGCTGTAGCTGCTGCTGTTGCTCTTTTTGCTGTTGTTGTTGCTGCTGCTGCTCCGCTGCTGCTATTGATGGCGTTGCTGCTGAGGCTCTTCTAATCGAGGTGGAAGGCTGCGCAGAATCGCTGCTGCTGCTACTGCTGCTGCTATGACTGCAGCAGGTAGTGCTGCTGCTGCATATTTGTATGTATACGAGACGAAGAAAATAATATTGAGGTCTCAATATACCAAGTTAACTTTTTATAGACCCTAAAGAAGAAGAAGAAGGAGAGAGAAGAAGAAAAGGCATAGAAGGCCCCAGCGACAGCCCCGCTGCAGACCCACTGAGCAGCAGCAGCAACAGCAGCAGCAGCAACAACAGCAGCAGCAGCAGGAGTTGTAGGCGCAGGTCTTGTTTATTTTGCTGTACATACACTCTAATCTTTGTTTATTTATACAAGAGTGGTGCTGGCTTGTGTTGCTCTGCTCCCCCGTCACGCTGTTGAGGTGGGTGGCCCCTGAACCCTAAACCCTAAACCCTAAACCCTAAACCCTAGTTTGTAGTTCCTTGTCTGAATCACTGTTTTCATTATTAATAAAGAGAAAGAAAATGAAAAAAGACAAAGGAGGTTATAGTTGCTGCGGCAGCAGGTCCTTGGCCCCCCCGAAACCCCGCACATGCAACTCTAAACCCTAAACCCTAAACCCTAAACCCTTTGGCCTGACTTAGCTTGTCTGTGGCGTTGTCTGTCCCTGGGTACGCAGCGACGATGCTGCTTTTCGGTTGAGTATGATATTTAGGGTTTAGGGTTAAGAGGGGTTTATAGGGAGGGTTATAGAGAGGCCTAGCGTTTAGGGTTTGCGTCGTTTGTTTATGTTTATGTTTGTGTTTGTTTTTCAGGTTGTTACTGTAACATATTATTCTTTTTCGTTGCTTTCTTTGAATTATTCTTGGTGTACTTCAATCCCCTAGTGTTTAGGGGGGTCTTCTTTACGTCGGGTTTAGGGTTTATTATTATTAGGGTTTATTTGTATTAGGGTTTATTATTATTAGGGTTTATTATTATATTTAGGGTTTATTAGGGTTTAGAGCAATGGCAGCATCAGCAAACGACGTATTTCCTTTTCAAGTGAGTGCTTCTCCTTCATGGGGCCCTCCTGAGAAAGACAGCAGCAGCAAGCAATCTTCTTCATCGTCATCGTCTTTATTAGAGGTCCTTCCTTTTGATTTAAATTTAAAGTCTTCACTCTTTTCTCAGCAGTTATTTCGCTGCTGCGACTTCACCTTCAATAGCGTAAGATCATCAACATAAACCCCTGTCAGGGTTTCGCCTTTTATAAATAATGTTCTTACGTCTTAGGGGGGGTTAGGGTTTTGTGAGGGTTTTAGGGTTTTGGGGGGTTTAGGGGTTGAACGAGTTTAGGGTTTAGGGTTTAGGGTTTTACGTTGGAGTTTATTAGGGTTTATCAGGGTTTATTTGGGTGTGCTAGAGTTGATGAGGGTCTCTTAGGGTTTAGGGTTTAGGGTTTAGGGTTTGTGCGAGCAGAAGCAAAGGGACCCAAGGGGAGGAACGCCTGCAGATGATGAAAAAGAATTTCATATGGTGGATAACAAACCCATGATGAGACACAAAGCAGGAGGAGGTTAGGGTTTAGGGTTTAGGGTTTAGGGTTTAGGGTCTAGGGTTTGTTTCTCTGTCTCCTTCTATTTGCGTCAGTTTATATATATATTTTATTATATTTATTTTATTTTATTTAATTAATAATATGTTTATGTGTCTTTGTTTACTTTTTTTCTGGGCGTTGTCTCTTTCACATTTTTATCGTTTGTCTTTTATTGTGCATTTATTAAAGAAAATAAATAACTAAATAGATAAATGAATATTTTGAGTAATATAATAAACAACTTAATTAATTAATTAGTTAATTTGTTTGTTTGCACAGAGGGCTGGCTAAGCAGGCGTCGGGCTCCTGTGAAACAAACGACAGCTGCATATAACGAAAAGACAAAAGAAGAAGAAGAATTGAAGTTAGGCAAAAAAGCAAAGAGTGACCAGAAGAAACAGCAGCAGCAGCAGCAGGTATTTATAATATTAACAACACAGTATAAATAAATATATCTGTTTATCTATCTATTTATGTTTATATTTATTTATATTTATATTTATATTTGGATGTTTTATGTTTGGCCTCATTACGCTCGAATTAACGGCTATTTATCTCATATTTGCTTTACTTCCATCTTAATATTCACATATAATATATACATAACTATATATAATTATGTACAAATATATATATATATATATATATATTTATATGTTTATAGGCTCGCTATGCTCGAATTAACGCTCGACATCGCATTTGCATGATCTGTATTTCATTTGCTTTCAGTGCATTTAAGTATTTGCATTTAATATATATGACTGCATATAAATAAATATATTCATTTGTGCATTTATATTTATATATTTATATGTTTATAGGCTCGCTATGCTCGAATTAACGCTCGACATCGCGCGTTTTCTGAGTGGTCAATCCAACCAACTAACGAGTGGCAGGTTATCGCGGAGTTGCCGCTGCAGCAACTGCACAAACAGCATATTGAAAATCGTAGGTTTAAAAAATAAGTAAATAAATAAATAAATAAATATGTATATATGTGCATGTTTTTTAATTTAGTTGTTTATTTTATTTAGTTGTTTATTTTGTTCTTTGTTGTTTGTCTCCTTGTCTTTTTTGTGTTGCTGATGATTATTGTTATTGTGGGGGGAAGGGGGAGGGGTTTGCTGCTGCCGCGGTGCTGCTGCTGATGGTGCTGCTGATGATGGTGATGGTTGGTTTGCTGCTGCTCTTGTGGCTGCTGCTCTTGCTGGTGCTGCTGTTATGTGCTGCTGCTGCTGGCGTTGTCCCTGCTGGTTATTTGGTGCTCTTCCTGGGAGTTCCGGGAGACACTAAACAAGCAGCAGCAGCAGCAGCAGCAACAGCAAAAACAACAGCAGCAACACCAGCAGCAGCAGCAAGCAGTTTCGTGAAGCTCTGCGTAGTGTTTGTTGTTTATATATATATATATATATATATGCATATATATATATATATGTATATATGAATAGCATTTTGTTTAGAGCGTGCTATTGTTGCTATTTGTTTGTTATAGCTTCATTATTAATTAATTAATTATTTTATTTGTTTTGTTTGTGTATGTTGTTTAGCTCGAGTGTCTGTAATGGACTTAGAATGGCGAGGCACTTTAGGTGTATACTCCAAACAAGCAGACAAAATTTCGAGCAAGATGCCTGTACCGATGCAAAATATGTCAAGCAATTTCTATTATTATTGGGTAACTACGCAAGATGATGAAGTTATTAAGGTAAATATAATTAAATATAATTCCTTATTTTCTATTTTATTATATTTAATCATATTTAATTATATTTAATTGTTTTATACTGTTGTTTTCACATTGTTTTTTGTTTGCTTTGCTTCGTCTTGGTGCATTTTATTTTATTATTATTATTATTATTTACTGCGCAAGATGATGAAATTATTAGGGTAATTATATTCAGTTTGTATTTAATTTTAATTTAGTTAATTTAATTTTAATTTTATGATTGGGGTACTACAAAATTTGAGGCGGTGAAAAAATTTTGACTTTTGTTACATTTTTGTATTTCTTTATGATTGATTGATTGCATTTATTTATTATCAACGAATAAATAAATTAATTTATTACTTCATTGTTAATTAATTTATTTACTAAATGTCTATATATTTGTTTCTCATAATTATTATGCGTCTATATATGTATAGATATGCATATATATACATATATATATGCATATATATTAATTTATTTGTATATTTATATAATTATGTTTGTTTATATTTAGGAGTATATGTTGAACGGCGAGCACCGCGTAGACGTTGCTGCAACAGATCAGGTGTTGTCATGTTTAATGTCTGCTCCTCAATCTAAATACTCCTGGCATTTATATCTCACAAAGATAGAAGGCAAAATTATAATCGATAAAGCAAACGGCTCTGTTGTAGATCTTCTTACTGTCAATGAAACAAGCGCTGAACCCCCTATGCAAGACGCAGAGGTCAGTTCTACGGTTTAGGGTTTAGGGGTTAGGGTTTAGGGTTTTTCGAGGGTCTAGGGGTTTAGGGGTTTAAAAGTTTCTTGCGCTTAACCCCCTATGCAAGACGAAGAGAACAGCAATTTTTTAGCGTTTAGGGTTTAGGGTTTAGGGCTTGGTGGGGTGTATGTATGCAGAACCGATTAAACCGCCCTGCTGCTTTAGGGTTTGAGGCTGTGCGTATTAATCAAAACCTTCGACAGCAATTATTGCTGCCAAATGAAACAGCAAAAGAATTCCCCCCTGCGCCTTTCGTTGAGCCCGGAGACACCCCAGCAACGATTGCTTACAGGCATGCTTCTTGCTGCTGCTCGCTGCTGCTGGCTGCTGCTGCTTGCTGCTGCTGGCTGCTGCTGCTTGCTGCTGCTGTCTACTTGGGCTGCTTTGCTGGGAGTCTGTTGAATTTTTCTGTGTTTATTTTTCGCCTTCTTCTGTCTCCTTTTGTCTGTCTTTTTGTCTCCTTTCGTCTGTCTTTTCAGTTTGAGTGTCTCTGTTGTCTGTCTCTTTTCGTCTCTTTGTCCTTTTATTTTGTCTCTTTTTGTCTCTCTTTGTCTCTCTTTGTCTCTCTTTGTCTCCTTTTGTCTTCTTCGATCTCTTTTCTCGTTTTCGTCTGTCTCTTTTTGTCTCCTTTGTCTCTGTTTTTGTTTACATCTCCCCGCGTCGTTACCTTCAATATATGCATTTTATCTCTGTCTCTTTGTCTCCGCTTTTCTGTCTCTTTGCCGCTCTTCTTTATCTCTTATCTCTCCTTGGGTGTAGGGTTTAGGGTTTAGGGTTTAGGGTTTAGGGTTTGTGTGCTTCAGATATCGCCTATTCACAATCCCCCCTCGTGCGGGTCCGAATTCATCACGTCGCCCTATAAACATTTTAACGAGGTTTGTTTATTTTTATTATTTATTAATTATTTATATTTATCTTTTTTTATTTATTTTCTTTTGTTGTCCTTCGTCTCTCTCACCACCTAGGGTTTTTCTCTTTATTTACCCTGGTCTACTTCATTGTTTTTTGTTTCCTTCCAGTGGCACCATCTCCTGCGATTTAGGGTTTAGGGTTTAGGGTTTAAGGTTGTTTAGGATTTAGGGTTTAGGGTTGTTTAGGATTTAGGGTTTAGGGTTTAACGCTTATTGTTTAGGATCTAGTGTTTAGGGTTAATTGTTCCGTGTCCATTGCTCGTACCTACATTCAGAGTATAGGGTTTATAATTTAGGGTTTAGGGTTTAGGGTTTAGGGTTTAGGGTTTGTGGACAGGGCCGAGGTGTACGCGAAGTCCCCAGTAGAGCGCGCGGATTTGAAGGAGACAAGAGAAGGAGACAGCTTTATTGTTGATGGAGGGGGGTATATATACACCTGCGCTCTTAATGAGATAGAACCCAAAGGTAACCCTAAACCCTTGTCGAAACCCTTTATACCCTCATCTAAACCCTAGACCATCGTATAAACCCTCTTCTAAACCCTAAACCCTCAGATAAACCCTAAACGGGTTGCGTAAACTTTAAACCCTCGTTTAAACCCCAACGTGTTGCGTAAACCATAGTATAAATCCTAAACCCTAATATAGACCCTAAACCCTAATATAAACTCTAATTCTACCGCCCCTTGAGAAGATATAAATTGCTATACATTCGCTTGGGCCCTCAACTAAACAAAACAGTATAATAAACCCTAAACCCTAAACCCCAGTGAAGCTTGGGTGTTACGTAGTTAAAGAGACACGTGAATACGCTGTAAAAAGCGCGTTTTCGTTTCCTTTGTAGGGGTTATGGTTTAGGGTTTAGGGTTTAGGGTTTAGGGTTTAGGGGTGTTTGTGGTTCAGGGCAAAAGAGCTGGCGCACATTGTTAGAAAGCCAAAGAGGAGCTCTGCTCGCCACCGAGGTGCGTAACAACGCATGCAAACTGAGAAAGTTTGTTACTTCTGCGATGATTGCTGGTTGCGATGAACTTCGTCTAGGGTTTGTAAGCAGAAAGAACTCTAATGATAATGGTACGTATCAACGAGGGTTTAGGGTTTAGGGTTTAGGGTTTAGGGTTTATACAGTGTAGGGGTGGACAGGGGTTAGGGCTTGGGGTTTAAGGGGTTAGTGTTAATTAGGTTTGCTTTAGGGTTTATATGGAATTCATGTTTAGGGTTTAGGGTTTAGGGTTTAGTAGGGTTTAGGGTTAGTTAGGGGTTGAAGGATATGTATTATACTCAATCCAATAGGGGTATAATGAATGATAGAGACAAGTAAGTAAATAAGTAAATGATGTTTAACTTTGTTTGCTGCAGAACAACACTTAATTCTAACTGTGCATAATTATCAAACAAGAGATTTGGGTAGACAGATAGGGTTAAGGCCGGAAAATGCGTGGGGCATTGTGAGGGCCGTCGTCGATCTCTTAGAAGATAAACCTGAGGGGAGGTACTTCTTGCTTCTGCTGCTGCTGCTAGTGCTGCTGCTACTGCTGCTGCTGATAGTGCTGCTAGTGCTGCTGCTGATAGTGCTGCGGTTGCTGCTGCTATCGCTGCTGGTGCTGCTTATAGTGCTGCGGTTGCTGCTGCTATCGCTGCTGGTGCTACTGCTGCTAATGCTGCTACTGCTGCTGCTACTGCTGCTCCTGCTGCTGCTAATGCTGCTGTTGCTAGTGCTGCTTTTGCTGGTGTGAATGCTGCTGCTGCTAGTGCTGCAGTTGCTGCTGCTTTAGTACTGCCGCTTTTGTTGATGCTGCTACTGCTGTTGCTGCCAATGCTGCTGCTGCTGATGTGAATGCTGCTTTTGTTGATGCTAGCTTTGCTGCTGCTGCAGTGCTGTTGCTGCTGCGGCTGTTAGGGCTTCGGGTGCTGTTATCGCTGCAGTTGCTGCTGCTGTTGTACGGATTGCAGCAGCAGCAGCAGCAGCAGCATTAGTTTGTTTTCGCATATGCAGCTTTATTTTGATATTGTTTTATTGCTACTAATATAGTTGCTGTGGTGTGTTGGGGTGTATACGCAGGTATGTGCTGCTTAAGGACCCCACAAAGCCAATAATGCGTCTCTACTCGAGACCTGAGGAAGAAGAAGAAGAAAGAGAAGATGCAAACGGAGAAGAAGCGAGAGAACAAGAAGAACAAGCTGAGTAACTGCATATACACCCCAAATGCATGCAGATTATATATATACATATATATAGGCATATATAGATATATATCTATATGTGCTTACAAATGCATGCATTTATCTGTATGATGATGCATATGAAGATAAAGGGAAGAAAAGAAGCAGACATTTTTATTTATTCTCTACGCTCTCGTCGCACTACCCTACACCGCATGCATTTATATCGCATGCCAGTTGCTGCATGCATATAAACGCATGCATCTAAATGCATGCATGCATATATCTGCAAGCAGTTAATTGCATGCATGCATATATCTGCAAGCAACTGCATGCATGCACGCATGCATGCATTTAGATCGCATGCCAGTTGCTGCATGCATGCATGCATATATATGCATGCATGCATATAAATGCATGCATGCATATAAATGCATGCATGCAGATATGGGGTTGTTGGCGTTTGTAAGGAGTGTAAAGAACATCTGATTTAACAAATTATTTATTTATTTATTTATTTATTCTAGCTTCTGAGAGTAGCTATGCTAGGGAAGAGAGAAGACAGGCGAAACAAACAACAAAAATTATATATATTTTATAAACAAAATACAATATACTCACTGCTGCTTCTCGTGTTGCTGCTGCTGCTCGTGCTGCTGCTGCTGATCTACATGCATAATAGTGCATATACCATACTATATATATCTATATATCTATATATCTATTATAACTATATCTATATCTATCTATATCTATATATCTATATATCTATATATCTGTATATCTATATATTTATATCTATATCTATATATCTATATCTATATATCTATATATCTATATCTATATATCTTTATATACATATATATATATATATATATCTATTTATCTATATCTTATATCTATATATATTATATATATTATATAATGATGTAAACATATTTCTATACATGCGCTGAAGAATATAAAAAATGTATTAAAAACATCTCCTCCTCCAACCCAAAGAAAGAAGACAAAAGAAATTGTTCCCTACCTGCTGCTGCTGCTGTTGCTGCTGCTGTTGTTGCTGCTGCAACAAAATACTGCTGCTGCTACTGCTGCAGGCAGCCGGTGCAGCTCAAGACACACTCTATGCTGCTCTTGCTGCAGTAGCTGCTGCAGCTGCAACAGCAACAGCAGCAGCAACAGCAGCAACAACCGCAGCTGCAGCAACAACAGCCGCAGCAACAACAGCAGCAGCTGCAGCTGCTGTTATGTGTCTGCTAGGGGACGTAGTGGAGCAGCAGCCTGCAGACAGCAAAGAGGAGCAGCAGCAGCAGCATTCACAGCAGCAGCAGCAATAACAGCACCAGAAGCATTGCCAGCAGTATCATTAGCAGCATCAGCAGCAGCTACTGCTGCAGCAGCAGCACTAGCATCCGCAGTAGCAGCATTACCGTTCACAGCAGCACCAACAGAAACACCAGCAGCAGCAATTAAAACACAAGCAACAGCAGCAGCAGCAGCTGCAGCAGCAGCAGCAGCAAGCCTTACGGGTTGCTGCTGTCTCTCCTAATGAATTCCCTGTCTATTAGAGACGCAATCGCTTGCTGCAGCTGCTGCTCCGCTGCTGCTGCCCTCCCTGGACCGATAACTGCTGCAGCAAGTGCGGCTTCCTCCGCCGAACCCTCACGCTGCAGCAACAGCAACAACAGCAACAGCAGCAGCAACATCAAGCAGCAGCAACAGCAGCAGCAGCGACAGGAGAGAGACTGCCGTTTCTGCTTAACGCTTTTTGTTTATCCCGCTTGCTTCTGCATCTATGCGCAACCCTAAACCCTAAACCCTAAACCCTAAACCCTAATTCATACTTTTAGGATCCGGACGAGTGCCGCCTCCAGCAGCAGTTTTCTGTCTGCTGCAGTTTGCGGTAAATCGGTGTTTTCTTCGTTTGTTTGTGTCTCCTTCTTTGTCTCTTTAAGTCTTGATATAGCACGCAGGGATAAGGGAGGGCAGCAGCGAAGGAACTGCCACTTGCTGCTGCTGCTGCTGCTGCCGCTGGTGCTGTTGCTGCTGCTGGTGCTGTTGCTGCTGCAGTAGGTCTCGTTCAGTCGCAGCAACCAGCCAGCAGCTAGCTTCGCGTTGACCTCCTCCTCCAGGGATCTGCTGTCTCCATCAAGATCATCTTGCTGCTGCTGCTGCTGCTGCTGCAGTTGCTGCAGTTCCTGCTGCTGCTGCTGCTGTTCCGCTTCCTCTTGCTTATGCACTGGGGGTAACAGCAGCAACAGAGGTTGAGGCAGCAGCAGCGTTGCTGCCGCAGCAGCGACAGCAGCAGGCTTGGCTTCGGTCTCTGCAATTATCTCCTTCATACCCACACCCCTTGCTGCTCTTGCACTGCAGCAGATGCAGCAACACACAAAAAAGAAGCAGAACTCCAGCAGCAGCAGCAGCAGCACCAGTTACGGGGGCGAGCAGGCGCTGCAACAAACACAAGGGTAGCACCAGCAGCGCAGCAGCAGCAAAGACAGCAGCAGCAACAGCAGCAGAAGCGGTGCAGGCATACTCATCGTTGAAAAGCAGCAGAATAGAAGCAGCAAACGGGTCTGTTTCCAGAAGAGTGAACAGGGGCCATCTGTTGCTGCTGCTGTTGCTGCTGCTGCTGCTTTCGCAGTTGCTGTTGCTGCCGTTGGGCTTGCTGATGGCATTCTTGCTGCTGCTGCTGCTGCTGCTGTTGCTGCTGCTGCGGGAAGGATGAAGAGGTACGGGTTGCAGCCGTGGGCTCTGGCGTCTGCTGAAGCTGCTGCTGCTGCCGAAGTTGGCGCGTCTGTTCTGCTGCTGCTGCTGGGTTTCCCCCTCCGCATCCGCAGCAGCAGCAGCTGCTGCTGCAGCTGCTGCAGCAGCAGCTGGAGTGTACAGGGAGGTGCGGAAGGTGACTCTGCTGCAGTGCAGCTGCCACTGAAGAACTCTGCAGGAGTATTTGCTGCAGTAAAATGCAGAGAAGGCTTCCATTGGTGCAGCAAGCTGCTGCGGCAGTCGCAGCAGCTTGCATGCAGCAGCACTGCGGCTTCTTTCTTCAAGAGACCAGCAATTCCAGCGAAGAATGAGGGCGCTGAATTGCTGCTGCTGCTGCGGCAGCCGCAGCAACTCATGCAGATCCTCGTCCTCTTCTAGCTCCTGCTGCTGCTGCTGCTGCTGCAGCTGCTGCTGCTGCTGTGCATCCTCCTCCTCATCCTGCTCCTGCTGATGCTGCTGCTGCTGCTCCTGCCGTTCCTGCTCTTGTTGCTGCTCCAACTCCTGTTGCTCCTGTTGCTGCTGCGCACGCTGACGCTGCTGCTGCAGCTGCTGCAGTCGCTGCGAAGTCCTGCTGCGCTGCTGCTGCTGCTGCTGTTGCTGCTGCTGCTCGTTTGCCTGCATGATCTCCCTCAAATGGCGATTGCACATTTGGTGTTTTTGCTGTTTGTGTTGTTCGCTGAGTTGCTGCTGCTGCTGCTGCTTGCGCTGCTGCTGCTGCTTTTGCTGCTGCTGCCTCTGCTGCTGCTGCAGCTGCTGCTGCTGTTGCTGCTGCTGCTGCTGGAACTCCCGAGACAGCAGCGCACTCGCCTCCACGTCGCGGGGCATCGAAGCAATTCGAACAGTCGCCTGCAGATCCACTCCCGCATGCCGCTGCAGCACAAACAGCAGCAGCAGCAACAGCAGCAACAGAAATAGCAGCAGCAGCAGCAAGACAACGAACAGGCGAAGACATTCAGACCTAAACGGGGGAGAGGAGATAGATAAAAATACAGGCAGAGAGGTTGCAGAGGCACAACGCCCAGCAGCAGCAGCAGCAGCGACAGCAGCAGCAGCAGCAACAGCTGCAGCGACAGCAGCAGCAGCGGCGACAGCAGCAGCGGCAAACCTCTAGGAGATCGGCAATGAGCTTCTCCTGCTCCACTCCTTTACACCCTCGCTGCAGCAGTCGATCCCCCAAGTGTCTCTGCAGCAGCAGCAAATCAACAAGCACCAGCTGTTGCTGATACAGCTGTTGCAAATGCTGCGTCGTGTGCTACTGTTGCTGCTGCTGCTCGTATACTTCCGCAACACAGCAGCAGCAGCAACAGCGGCAGCAGCAGCCACGTACGAGTCTCAGATTGCTGCTGCTTTTAAACGCCCCGCTGCTGTTGCTGACGCATACTCCAGGGCAGCAAACAATGAAAAGCAGCAGCAGCAGCAGCGACAGCAGCAGCAACAACAGCAGCAGCAGCAGCAGCAGCAGCAGCAAAGCGGCTTACTCTGTAGACTTCGAGGAAGGCAGCTCTATCTGGGATATTCTGCAGCAGCGCAACAAGGTGAGCCTGCAGCGGCAGCAGCAGCGGCAGCAGCAACAACAGAAAGAATTGCAGCAGCTGCAGCGGACGGAGCAGCGGAAGCAGCACCATCAGCAGCAACCTCATCCATCAACAGCATCAGCAGCAACACCAGCAGCAGCAACAGTAACAGCAGCAGCAGCATAAACAGCAGCATCGCTCCCAACAGCAGCAGCACCCTCAGCAACAGCGGCACAATAAAAACAGCAGCAGCAACAGAAGCAGCAGCAGCGAAAGCAACGAAACCAACAGCAGCAGCAACGGCAGCAACAAAAGCAACTGCAGCAGCAGCAGCAGCAGCAGCAGCAGCAGCAAGCGTGCATACTGCTGCTCTCTTGGTTTGTGAGTATCGCTGCAGCTGCGGCAGGAACCGATCCCAGTAGAGACAGAGAGCAGCAGGTAAGAAGGGCACCTGGCTTAAGGCGTCTCTAATAGCCTGAAGCAAGGGGACAGCCAAACCCTAAACCCTAAACCCTAGACCCTAAACCCTAAACCCTAAACCATGGACAACTAAATATAGGGAGATAATAATAAAATACGCCACGAAGAAAACAAACAACCGAAAACGCACTCCCCAAGCTGCCTATACACCCTAAACCCTAAACCCTAAACCCTAATTCAAGTGCACGACAGAGCAGAGCAACGAAGACAGCATATGAAAGAGCATAATAATAAATGCATGCATAAATACAAAACGAAGACAAAGAGACAGCGCATATATGCATGCATACACCGCAGAGAAGGAGACAGATAAAGAGACAGAAGGGAAACAGAGAGAGACAACAGAAGACAGAGAGAGAGACAGAGACAGACAGAAATAAAACAGACAGAGGCAAAAGGAGACAGAGAAAGACAAAAGGAGAGACAGACAACAAACAGGAGACAGAGAAAAGAGACAAAGAAAAGAGAGACAGAAAAGAGACAGAGAAAAGAGACAGAAAGGAGACAACGGAAGGGAGACAGACAAAAGAGACAGAGAAATGAGAGAGGAGACACAGAAAAGAAATAGAGACAAGAGACAGAGAAAAGAGACAGAGAAAAGAGACAGACAAAAGAGACAGAGAAAAGCCACAGAGAAAGGAGACAACAGAAAGGAGACAAAAGAAAGGAGACAAGAAAAGAAATAGAGAAGTAGACAGAAGAAAAGAGAAGAAGAAAAGAGAAGAAGAACAACGCACCATCCGCACTGTCTCTTGCATGCGGCTGTCTCCTTTAAAAACTGTCTCCAGCAGCCGCCCCACTTCCTCGTGGAAGTCGAGCAGCCGCCTGCAAGCCACCCCCTCAGGCCCCAGCAGCCAGTCCTGCTGCTGCTGCTGCTGCTGCTGCTGCTGCTGTTGCTGCTGCTGCTGCTGCTGCTGCTGCTTCTTTGAGCAGCAAACACGCAGAGTGCTCCGCCCTTTGCCGCGAACATTCAGAAACTCCCGCTGCTGCTGCTCCACCTTGCTGCTGCTCGTGCTGCTGCTGTTGCTGCTGTTGCTGCTGCTGCTGCGGCTGCTGCGAGTGACGCGTCGAGTTACTGCAGCAGGACTTTCAGGAGCGTCGACCGCAGCAGGTGTTTGCGGCTGCTCAGCAGCAGCAGCTGCTGCTGTTGCTGCTGCTGCAGCAGCAGCAGCGGTATGCCCGAGGGGTCCCTCATGTGAACCTGCTGCTGCCGCACCACCTGCAGCCCCTCCTGCAGCAGGACCTGCACCTGCAGCAGCAGCAGCAGCAGAAGTGCGGAGAGGCTCTGTAATCTGCAGCACTCTGGCGACGACAGACTCCCTAACAAGAGCAGACACCAGATCTCCTGGTCTCTGCTGCCGCTGCTGCGTTGGTTTATACAGCCGCAGCAAACGCCACACGGAGTGCAGCAGCAGCCTCCTCTCCCTCAGCAGCAAACACAAATCGATCGCCCCACCATCGCTGCTGCTGCTGCTGCTGCTGTTGGTGCTGCTGTTGGTGTTGCTGTTGATGTTGCTGTTACGGCTGCTGCTGTTGATGCTGCTGCTTGAAGGCCGGAAGTTCAAGGTACTTGCACTGGGGAAGCTGCTGCTGCTGCTGCTGCTGCTGCCATTGTTGCTGCTGCTGCTGCACTCCCAGACTCCATGTCCCCCAGCATCCCAGCCTGTTTCCTCGCCGTGTTGTTGCTGTTGCTGCTGCTGCTGCTCTTGTTGCTGCTGCATCAACTGCTGCTGCTGCTGCTGCTGCTGCAGGTAGGGAGCCGCATGCAAGTCGCTTATAAATGCTAGCTGCTGCAGCAAATCTGCCAGACCCCCAGGCCCGCACATAACAAAATGCAGACACTCAACAATCATTACCTTTGTCGCTTTCTGCAGCAGGCTTTGCTGCAGTCGAGGCCAGAGAGCAGCAATCTGAAATATCTGCTGCTCCCGCTGCAGCAGCGCATGCACCCGCTCCGTATAGCTGCTGCTGCTGAGGCCCCCTTCCTGCTGCTGCTGCTGCTGCAGACGACGCAGCAAACGCGCCTCTGAAGCACGCAGCTTCAGATGCCTCACGTGCTGCTGCTGCTGCTGCTGCTGCTGCTGCTGCGAGATGGAGGGGCCTGCACACGATGTGCTGCTGCCGCAGCTGCAGTAAACAGATACAGACACCATCCCTTCATCATCGTCTGCTGCTGCTGCTGCTGGAGATGCTGCTGCTCGCGCTGCTGCTGCTTCGGCTGCTGCTGGAGAGTCGCAGCAAGCACGTAACCAGCACTTCCTCTGGAGATGTCCTCCCTGTTGCAGTTGGTCTGCTGCTGCTGCTGCTGCTGCAGCACATTCTGCTGCAGCGGTGAAGTCGATTCGCTGCTGTTGCTGCTGCTGCTGCTGCTTGTCTCCAGACTGCAGCAGCTGCAGCAGCTGCTGCTGCGCATCAGGAGGTGCAGCAGCAAGGTCCCGAAGCAGCCACTCTTTGGATTTGCTGCAGTAGTAGCTCTCGGATTCAGTCAACATAAAGCTGCAGATACACCCCAACAGCAGCAGCAACAGCAACAGCAATATTGCATTCACAATAAGCCACAGACGCATCTAGCGAAGAAACAGCAGCAACAACAAAATGCGCAGCAGCAGCAGCAGCAGCAGCAGCAGCGGCAGCAGCCGCTCTTACTGCTGCAGGTCGTCAAAGAATCTGCCCGTTGGTTGGTGTTGCTGCTGCTGCATCTGTTGCTGCTGCTGCAGCTGTTGCGGCGGCTGCAGATGGTGGTGTTGCTGCTGTTGCTGTTGCTGCTGCTGCTGCTGCTGCAGCTCCACAACCTGCTGCTGCTCCCCCATGATTTGGCCGTGCCACCTTTGTGCTGCTGCCTGCTGCATCAGAAGCACAGGTGAATGCTGTTGCTGCTGCTGCAGCAGCGCAGCAGCAGTTTGCTGCTGCTGCCGTGCTGCAGCAGTCCCAGCAGAGGTATCGCCCATGTGCGATGAAGACAGCAGCCGCCACTGTATTATCCGTGCCGTCCTGCTGCTGCTGCTGCTGTTGTTGTTGGTGCTGCTGGTGTTGGTGCTGCTGCTGTTGGTGCTGCTGCTGCTGATGCTGCTGCTTTTGCTGCTGGGGTTCTTGCCGTCTGCTGTTTGCTGTGTCACCCCCTTATCAGACACTGCGCCTTCTGCTGCTGCTGCTGTTGCTGCTGCTGCTGGGGTTGCTGCTGCTGCTGGAGTCGACTCCAGAGCAGCAACATGAGGCTCCCCCAAGCAGCAAAGCATCAGCATCAGTCTCCGAAATGCAGCAGGATCGATGCCTTGCTGCTGCTGCTGCTGCTGCGGCTGCTGCAGCTGCTCCCTGTAGCCAGCAACTGCCGCAGCAAGGGCCTCAACCGCTCTCTTGTGGAGATGCGCATACACCTGAAATCAACAACAGCAGCAGAAGCAGCAGCAGCAAATCAACAAAAGCCAACGTACAGCAGCAGCAAAAGCACAGCAGCGGCACTGCAAGCACACCCATCAACCGTAACAGCAGCAAGAGCAGCAGCAACAGCTGCAGCAGCAGCAACAGCAGCAGCTGCAACTGCAGCAGCACCAGGAATACCAAGAGCATCGCCGCAACACCAATAACCCAAGCAGCAGCTACACCAGCTACAGCAGCAGCAGCAGCTACAGCAACAACAGCAACAACAACAGCAGCAGCAGCAGCGACAGCAGCAGCACCAGCTACAGCAGCAGCAGGAGGAGGCCTACGCATGTCTGGAAGACAGCTAAGGAGCAGAGCAGCAGATTAGGTGTCTCCCCTATCTCCTTTCTTCTGCAGGTAAAGAAGCGGTCTAAATAACAAAACCCTCGAATAAGCCAGTGCACCAGATATCCATACACCTCCCAGCAGCGCAGCAGCCGCTGCAGCAGCAAACTGCCGCATATGCTGCAGCTACAAAGCACACCCTCATCCCGTACAGACTGCTGCTCTTGTTGGTGTTGTTGTTGTTGCTGCTGCTGCTGCTGTTGCTGCTGCTGCAAACGGTGCGCATGCGCATGCAGCAATGGCTGATGCAGCAACGCCTGCTGCTGTACCCACTGCTGCTGCTGTTGCTGCTGCTTGCCTGTACACCGTAAACAGCGGGGCCGCGGGGCCTCAGCAGCAGCAGCAGCAGGGGCAGCGGCCTCATCGGAGCAGCAGCAGCTGCTGCTGTTGCTGCTTTTGCTGCTTCCCTTGACTGCCCACTTGCAGTCTCCGCAGCAGCATCGGTTTGCTGCTGCAGTTGCTGATGCCGCTGTACCTGCAGGAGAAGCTGTTGCTGCTGCAGCTGCTGTTGGTGGAGCAGCTGCTGCAGCAGCAGTCCTTGTGGCGATGCCCCCTCCGTGCTGCTGCTGCTGCTGTTGCTGCTGCTGCTGCACGATAAGGCGCAGCTGCTTTGCTGCCCACTCTGCTAAAGATATCCGAAAGAGACAATACACCTGAAATGCTGTCTCCTCTGTCTCGGCTAGCTGCTGCACTAGAGAGTAAGCAGCAGCAAAGCTGTCTCTTGATGGCAGCAGCAGAGGGTTAAGAGTCTCCGCATACAGCAGAACGGGGCGCACCCACAGCCGCTGCAGCAAACTTACTGCATCAACGGCAGCAACGCTGCGCGGCACTGCAGCAGCAGAAGCAGCAACAGCAGCAGCAGCTGCTGCTGCTGCCGCTGAAGCAGTTGCTGCTGCTGTGCACGCAGGTGAACATGCAAGAGCAGAACTGCTGCTGCTGCTACTCGCGCTGCTCACATGAGAAGCAGTCCCCACAGCCGAACTGCTGCTGCTGTTGCTGCTGCTGTTGCTGCTGCTCTGTTCACAGCTGCTGCTGCTGCTGCTGCTGCTTTTGTTGGGTGCCACTCTTTGCTTCCGAATACAGGATTGCAGCGCAGCAGCAGCAGCAACTGCCGCAGCACGGCGACTCCTGCTGCTCCCGCCGTTGCCGTTGCTGCTGCTGCTGCTGCTGCTGCTGCTGCTGAGGGGATTTGCTGAACTATCTCCCAAGTGCAGCTCGTCAGCAGCAGCAGGTGGCGCTGCTGCCGCTGCTGTTGCTGCTGCTGCTGACGCCGTTGCTGAGCCTGCTGTAGGGGTTCCTGTCTGGCTGTCCTCTGCAGCAGCAGCAGCAGCTGCTGCCTCAACACCAAACGTAGCAGCAGCAGCAGGAACTGCAGCTGCTGCAGTAGCAGCAGCAGCAGCTGAGCCCTGTGCTTGCTGCTGCTGCAACAACTGTTGCCTTCGGGTTCTTTTAGTACGACTGGAACGAGAGGCAGCAGCAGCAAGACGCTTCCGTCCTGCTGCTGCTGCAGCAGCAGCAGCAGCAGCAGAGGGGCGAGCTACCGCCGTCCTTCCTGCTGAAGTGGCTCCATTACTTTCTGCTGTTACAGCAACTGCTGCTTCTGCTGCTGCAGGTGCTGCTGCTGCTGTCCCTTCTGCTGCTGTCCCTTCTGCTGCAGTAGCGCGGCAGCGAATAGTAGCTGCCCTAAACTCCCATCTGCTGCTGCTGCTGCTGCTGTTGCTGCTGCTGCAGCCATGCGGAGCAGCAGCAGCAGCAGTAGCAGCAGCAGAAGCTTTTGCTGCTCCCTCCGGAGACGACGCTGGCAGCTGCTGCGGAAAGTCGTGTCTCCTCAATGCAGCAACAGCAGCAGCAGGTGCTGCTGCGCCTGAAGCAGCAGCTGCTGCATCTGCTGCAGCAGGAGACTGCTGTTGCTGCTGCTGCTGCTTTGCTGCCTCTACACCCGAAAGAGGAGAAGCAGCAGGATCCTCTGCCCCTGAAAGCAGCGCACAGTACACCACCTCTGTGGGGTCGAAGCCGTTCTGTTCCTGCTGCTGCTGCTGCTGCTGCTGCTGCTGCTGTTGATGCTGCTGTCTTGTTCGTGCTGCCCTGCTGCAGTGTTGATGCGCCAGTGACGCTGCTCCTGCTGTTGCTGCTGCTCCTGCTGCTGCTGAACCGACGGCGCTGTGGCGGGAAGCTTTGGCTGCTAAGGATTCCCTAGGTTCGGCTGGTGCTGCAGCAGGTGCTGCTGTTGCTGCTGCTGCTGCTGCACTGCTGCTGCTGCGGAGGGGACGACGGCGCCTTGGGGTGGTCCTCACAGCAGCACGCGGAGACATATCTGCTGCTGCCACCGCAACAGATGCAGCAGCAGCAGCTGCTGCTGCTGCTGTGTCTCTTCGCTTGGTGCTTGAGGGCCTTGATGCCGCTCCCGCTGCTACGGATACTTCTGCTGCTGCTGCTGCTGCTGCTGCTGCTGCTGCTGCCTCAGATTCTTGCTTCGCCTCGACTCCCCAGCGGCCACCAGCGCCGGCGCCCCGGTCCATATCGCTGCTGCTGCTGCTGTTGCTGCTGCTGCTACTTCTGCTGCTACTGTTGCTCTTCCCGCTGCTGCTGCTACGGTTTTTCCCTATGCAACGGCTGATGCTACTGCTGCTGGTGCTGCTGCAGGCTTTGCTGCTGCGTGCGGAACTGTTGCTACTGGTGCTACTAGCGAGTCAGCTGCTGTAGCTGCTGCTGCTGCCGTAGCTGCTGCTGCTGCTGCGGCAGCGCCAGAGGCTGCTAAGCCAGCAGCAAGTGCTGCTGCCCTTGTTATTGCTGCTGCTGCCTACGAAGGCAGCAACTAATGAAAAAGGATTGAAAAGGTGTTGCAGCTGCCACCCCGGGAGGCTGCTGCTGGTCTTGCTGCTGACCGCTGCGGCTGGTTTGGCTTCTGCTGCTGCTGCTGCTGCTGCTGCTGCTGCTCCTAGCTTGATAAGCGGCGAACTTAAAGAGCCTCGCAAGAACGCATCAGCTGCAGCAGCAGCAGCAACAGCAACGGCACAGCAACAACGGCTGCACTGCTCGCAGCGCTTCCACAGGTTCAGCTGCTGTTGCTGCTGTTGCTGCTGTTGCTGCTGTTGCTGCTGCTGCTAGCAGCAAAGACTGAGGACATTTTTGCTGCTCCAGAGAAGCTTAAAAACGACAAACGCAGCAATTATGTTGACAGTTATATTGCTGCAGCAGCAGGAACTTCGGGCTGGCTGGCTGCTGCTGCAGCAGTAGCAGCAGCAGCAGCAGTTGCTGCTGCTGCTGCTGCTGCAGAATGGAAGGTAATTCTAAAAGACAAAGCCTTTATCTTTGCTCTAGTATAGAACACACTTTGAAAATTATAGTGTTGGTACTCACGCCTAAACCCTAAACCCTAAACCCTAAACCCTAAATCCTATCCAGCGGACCCCCCGTTGGGGCTGGTATGTAAGGGCGCGCCTGACTGCACGTCTTGAATGTAGGGTTTAGGGTTTAGGGTTTAGGGTTTACAGTTGGTCTTGGATGCCTCTGTGTCAGCAAGTTAACAGCAGCAGATATTAGCAGCTTTAAAGCTGCTTACACTCTCTGTTTGCTTCTCCTTCATACTCATATTAACAACAACAAAAGATAATAATAATAATAATAATAATAATAATAATAATAGAGAGGAGGAGGGGATATAGTATATGCATCAGAGTGGTTTGGCCGCTACGGGTGTTAGAGAAGCAAACTGTCTCCTTTACATGCAGCAGCAGCAGCAACAGCAGCAACAAAGAAGGAGACAGTTAGCAGCATAATGCCTCGCAGCAAGAAGCAGATCTCCTCCTACCTTATCTAGCTGTATGGTTTCCTTCCTCATGTTTATGTTTGAGGTATTGCTGTTCGCATGCAGGCTGCCTAAAGAGAGTCAAAGGAGTGCTAATCTGCTGTCTGGTGCAGCAAAGAAGGGGGCTTGGCTGCGTTTGTTTGTGCGGTTGTCTTGCTACAAGACAACCCCGCAAATATACATTCCTTGCTGCTGCTCTTGCTGCAGGCAAGTGCTGCAGCAAAGGACGATTGTTTGCTACACTTTTGTGTGGGGTTGTCTTGTAGCAAGACAACTCCACACACAAGTATCTTGCTGCTGCTCTTGCTGCTGCTCTTGCAGCTGCTCTTGCTGCTAGCAAGAGCTGCAGCAAGCTGCAGGCGGGGTGCATCTTTACCTCTTCCTCTTCGTTGCAGCTCCAGGATCTGTTGTTGATGAGGTGCTGGAGACTCATGGAGACAAGAGGGGAGGTCAGCTGTTCTATAGAAAGTCTTTTCTATGAAGTGTTTTGAGTCTGTTGCAGCTCGCCACGGTCCTCTGCAATTATTGAGGGCTGTCTGTACACCCCGCGTTCTGATGGGCACCCCAGCAAGAAGGCTAGCAGAAAGGAGGGCCTCTCTGAATCTGCGACACTTCCAGCTGCAGCAGCAGCAGCCACCGCTGCTGCTGCTGCAGCATTGCAACAACAGATTCAAGCCTACTTGTAAGTCTTCCTTTTAATATAATGAGCCATACTCATAGAGAACTGCTCCATGCCTTCTTAGCATCCATAAGGGGAGGTCCCTCGACTATAGTTGAGGAGCTTCTTGATCTGGAGTAAAGTTTAAGTGCTTTGAATACGAATTCAAAAGAAGCAGCTCAACTCTCTTCCTCTCTACAGGCGTCCTTGGCCAAGAGGCTCAAGTACCTGGGGTGTATGGGGAGCGGAGAAGGCCTGCCATTTGAGTTGCAGCAAATCTGTTTAAACTACTGCTGCAAGAAAGAAAAGAAATAGAAGTACTTCGCATAAACATATCTATATCTTTGCTTAAACATCAGGCTGTAGCCGTCGCGCACTTATTAGAATTATTACGTCAGCTATCTTCAAAAAGATATCGGGTCACCCCTCTCCCCCAAAACTGCATGCGCCTTCGCATGCCCGGGCATTCAAAGAGCGATCTGTACACCGAGAGGAAAGAAGGACTTCTAAAGATTATCAAGAGCTTCAATAATAACAATAATAAAGAAAAAGTTAGCGGTTTCTAAAGAAAAATCAAAAAATATTATATTTTTTGTTTCTTCCTTAGGAACAGCTACTTTTTTTTCTTTCGTTATTATCATTGTCGATTAAAAAGATATTAATCAAAAATATATATTTGTATATTCTGCTACAACTCTATGCCATTATAAGACAGCGGACTCTGCACAAAGTCGAAGAGGCGGCCTTGAAGATATTTTCAAGTGTTTATTTTGCGCAAGAGTGCTTCAGGTGTCTGTACCCTCGCTATTTAAACATAGTACGAACAGCCATTCTGGGTTTTAATGACTCTGCATTTCGTGTGTCTAGGGTTTGATCTTCTTCCATTTGCGCCTTCCCGCAATGATGCTGATATTTTCTTTTTTTATTTCTTTTTGGATAAGTGTTGTATCGCCTCAGTGCTAACAAACCCATGAAAGGCTTGATCAACCGACATAACCCAACGCATTAACCCGAGAATGAACAACAAAGGGCCCTATATGAACGCTTAGACAGCTTACACTTCTTTATACTGCTTGGGAATAGAGCTAAACAAACTCAGACTCGAAAAACTGCTGAAGACCGTGTGGGGTAGTTTTGTTTCTTGTATGAAGTTCTTGTGCTCTTGTCACGCATTCCTGCGCCACTGATAGCTCTTTATACATATCTACATATATAAGTACATATATATATATATTTATTTATTTATATTCAATCATTTAAGTATCTATACATATATTCATACATACTGCGGAGCTACTGGGTTGGCTGTCAGCAACTTCATCGAAAGTTGGGTTCCCGAAGAATGTTTCAATGACACAAAAGAGGCGAGAGGCCATCGGATGAAAGAGCTCATTGCTGCATTTTAAATAAGTCTTTTAGAAAGGAGACAGTCGAGCCGCTTGGATGAACATTGTTGGCTTTAGAGTAACAACAGTGTGCAAATGCATGCAGATTATGCCTTCAGTATGAGCGTCTGTTTCTGGGGCTTTGTCGTGCTCTTATAATGGGTGGTAGTTAGATTAGCCGCTTCATATATTAAAGCCAAAACATTACAGCTAACTTTGCTTCCCTCTTTGCATTATATTTTCTTTAAAAAGTCAAAGAGCTACAAACAGTGCCCCACTGCCCTCGCCTTAGACTGTTCACAGATAACTGCTTCCTGCTGCAAGTAAATATATATTTCTATATACTTGTTTATTTACTTGTTTGTTTGTTTATTTATTTATAGGTATATATATGTATATATATATATATATATGCGTATATAGACATATGTGTACATATGTATAAAGATGCAGAGATATATAGATGTATATATATATGTATATATATTTGTATATACAGATATATAGATATTTAGATATATAATATGTGCATTCTTAATAAAGATTATATATGCACATGCATACAAATGTATATAGATATGCATACATATGTAAATGTATACATATCTATATACAGAAATATAGATAGATTGCTTGGGGCGTCTCTCTTCACAGCTGGCAGATATAAAACCCTCTTTAAGTTTTTAATTTGGGTTTTCTTATTGCATAAAGCGGCTAACAATTAGAAAATAAATTTAAAAAATTAAACAAGAAAGAAGAACAAAAGATATACAAGTGCATGCATCCAGGGTGGTGTTTAGAGTATTATGTATCTTTCGGGTGTATGAATAAATATGTTGTTGATAAATTTAATTAATTTAATTTAATTTATTTTATTTGTTAAACGCAGACAGACAAAAACATGCAGCAAAAGCCTTCTCCTTAGCTGTCGTCTGTCTGGGGCTGCGCTGGGGCTGAGCTACTGCAGCAGTTGCTGCTGCTGCTGCAGCGGCTGCAGCAGCAGCAGCAGCAGCAGCACCGTTGATGCTGCTGCTGAAGCTTATCTTCTTTCTTACCTTAGGACTGGGGTGTGTTTAGGGGCCCCACTAGATGCGTTTCTTTCTCTTACTGAGCGCAGACATACCTCCCCACAGCCCCCAAACCCTAAACCCTAAACCCTAAACCCTAAACCCTGCATTTGCCTTCAGCAAATGCAGCGTTTTCCCCGCTGTTAATTGCAAAAATAAACAACTGTAAACCCTTAAAATTGTTGGTTCTCTTCGTGGGGGAGAGGAACGGAGGGCCGCCGCCGCATGCGATCAGGGCTGGGGGTTTAGGGTTTAGGGTTTAGGGTTTAGGGTTTAAGGACTTACATTCTCTCCTGGATTGGAAACCAGAAGAAACTGCCAAGATGGTGAAGGTGACAAAGGAGGATCTCCAGAAGTTGGAGATCAAGGGTGCGCATCATCTTGTTTAGGGTTTAGGGTTTAGGGTTTATGTTTGTTAGGTGATGCTGAATATGTTTATCGCTTAGGGTTTCGAGTGTATGAGTGTTTATGGTGTATGGTAAGGTGTTTTTTGTATAGGAGTGTTCGGTGTTTGTTTGTATGTTTTTCTTAGCCTGCTCTAGGATTTAGGGTTTAGGGTTTAGGGTTTAGGGTTTGCATGCATGCAGAAGAAGAACAAGACGAGCTACTAGAGTATCTTTCTGAAGACAGCGATGAAGATGAAGAGGCCCTGACAAAAAAACTGCAGTCATTTGAACCTCTGCTGCAGATGGACGACCGCTTCCCAGACACCGTCATAATGGTTGGGGTCCCTCTCGTGAGTTAAGGGTTTAGGGTTTAGGGTTTAGGGTTTGCTGTTTGCAGGGTTTTGGGTATAAGATTTAGGGTTTTTTGAGTCTATGGTTTAGGGTTTAGGGTTTGCAGAGTTTCGGGTTCCGGGTTTACGGTTTGCAGGGTTTAGAGTTGAGGGCTAGCAGAGATTAGGGTTTAGGGTTTAGGGTTTAGGGTTTGCATGCATGCAGGTGGGTGCGGATCGTCTGGAGAAGCTGACGGCGGTGCTGCGTAAAAAGATATCGGATGAATTGTGCAGAAAAGGAGGAGAGGATTTGGAGTCTGCATTTGATATTGAATTACCGATGAATGAAGATGGTTCTTTAACAAGAGGATGTTGTTTCTTAACCTTCCCGAGTGTATACGCAGCTACGCATGCAGCAAGGGCTTTAAATGGTTATAAAATCGATAAAAGACACACATTCAGGGCTGCTATGCTTGATGAGTTCAATGAGATCGTGGCGAGAGATAAAGACTATAAACCCGCTATCACCCTCCGAGGTCCTAAACCCTAAACCCTAAACCCTAATTGAGGCCTACTTAAAGAACCCCCTGGATGATGTTTATCCGATGAACGATGTTGCTGCAGCAATTGTATATTATCTTCATGGTTTCCAGTTTATTGTACCGGTTTTTTTCCTAGGGTTTTAGGGTTTTAGGGTTTAGGGTTTAGGGTTTAGGGTTTATGGGGTGTATATGGAATGGTTTTTTCAGGGTTTACACGTGAAGACGTGCGTTGGTGGTTGAGCGACCCTCGTTTTCGCGAACAGTTTGTTTTGCGACATGGTCTGGAGACAGAGGTTTACTGGCTAGATCCGATGGAGGGCAACCCCTGCACTTTATGTTATGACGGACAGAAAGAAAAACAAGACGGGAAAACTATCTGGACAGAGTTGAGGGTCCAGTGGTCACCCCACGGCTCTTACCTCGCTACCTTCCACAGACAAGGTCCTTTACGGGCTAGGGTTTAGGGTTTAGGGTTTAGGGTTTAGGGTTTAGTGTTTAGGGTTTGGGGTTTGGGCAGCCACGTTAGGGTTCACGGATTGGACGGCATGGGGTTTAGGCTCGACGAGTGGTGGGGATGGGGGGTTAGGGTGGGGTTAGCATTAGGGTTTAGGGTTTAGGGTTTATGGTTTGGGGTGTGGCTGCAGGCATTGCTCTTTGGGCGGGACGCAACTTCGAGAAGAAAGCCAGACTTGAACACAAAGAAGTGAAACAGGTGCGCGAGGGTTTAGGGTTTAGGGTTTAGAAACGGAGGCAAGACCAACGCAGGGGCCTCTATACAATAGGGTTTAGTATTTAGACAGGGTTTAGGGTTTAGGAGGTGGTATTCTGGAGCAGCGTTGCAGCGCTGGGGTCTACGGGTCTAGGGTTTAGGGTTTAGGGTTTAGGGTTTGGGGTTTGCTGCAGATAATGTTTTCTCCGAAAGAAACGTACATGCTGTCTTGGGACGGGACGCCCGCATCGATGCGAAATGAAAAGGCGGTGAAGACATGGAACGTGATGACAGGTTGGTGGTTTCTTAGGGTTTAGGGTTTAGGGTTTAGGGTTTAGGGTTTGGGGTTTATGACTTGGACGGAACGCTTGCATCGATTCCCAGTGAAAAATCTGTGAAGATATAGAACTTGATTAGTGGTTAGTGGCTTTTTGAGGGTTTAGGGTTTAGGGTTTAGGGTTTAGGGTTTAGGGTTTAGGGTTTAGGGTTTGGGGTGTACGTACAGGTGAAATGCTGCGCCAGTTCCCCACACCCGCAGCTACGCCTCGGGGCACGGAGTTTCCTCACTTTTTGTTTTCGCACGATGAAAAATATCTGGCGAAGATTGGAGACAAAGAATTATGCGTCTATGCAATGGACCCCAAAGACAACTTCCCCGATCAAGTCGCCGATGAGGTAGGGTTTAGGGTTTGAGGTTTAGGGTTTAGGGTTTAGGGTTTAGGGTTTGGGAAGGGGAGCGCGAGGAGTAGGTTGGTCTGCATTCGCTGCCCAACTTTTCCTGGCGGATCTTTTCCTGTCGTTCCCTCGTTAACCAGCCCCTATTCCTAGGGTTTAGGGTTTAGGGTTTAGGGTTTACGGTTTGCGTTGCAGGACGTGACACCGGTGAAGCTGTTGCGCGATGAAAAGGGCCACTTCTCTGCATTGAAATATCCCGTAGAGAAATTCGAGTGGTCTCCTGGAGACAATATTGTCTCTCTTTGGATTAGGGGTTCAGATGACACCCCAGGTAAACCCTAAACCCTAAACCCTAGAAGCTGTTGAGTAGGGACGGGATTGCAGTGTTTGCGGTTGCGCGCGGGAATGCCGGCGATAGAAGGGTTTAGGATTTAGGATTTAGGGTTTAGGGTTTAGGGTTCGGTACCTCCCCCAGGGGCCCAGGGCCTTCACTCTGATTTGCAACTGTAAACCCTAAACCCTCGTTGCGTGCAACTAGGGTTTAGGGTTTAGGGTTTAGAAACGGAGAGGTGGAGGGGTTGAGGAAGAAGGACGAGGCAGATGTGTCGGGCGCGCCGCTTCTCTATCGGAGCCCTCGATGAACTGTCGCTACAACAAGGGTTTAGGGTTTAGGGTTTAGGGTTTAGGGTGTTACACCTCCCCCATGGGCTTCGGTCACCTCTCGGGAACCCCCCCAAACCCTAACGATTTAGGGTTTAGGGTTTAGGGTTTAAGAACAGAGAGGCGGAGGGGTTGAGGAAGAAGAAGGAGACAGATGTGTCGGATGCGCCGCTTCACAATCTCCGCCTCCGATGAACTGTCACTACAGTTTAGGGTTTAGGGTTTAGGGTTTAGGGTTTTTGTATGGTTTGGTGTGAATGTATAGCATTTGTGTATATATATAATAGGTTGTTGTATGTGTATTTTTGAGGTATGGATATGAAAGGGTTTAGGGTTTTGGGGTGTACATGCAGGTCGTTTGATCTTAGTAGATATCCCGAGCCGTCGCGAGTTAGCGAGTAAGAATGTTTATAATGTACGAGGAGCCGCTATGCACTGGCAAGGCAATGGCGACTTTCTTTGTTTAAAGACGATGGTCTTTAAAAAGACAGGAAAGAAAGGCCGAAAAGAGTTCAGCCAGCTCGAGATATTTAGGATGCGAGAGAAAGATATCCCTGTCGACAATATACAACTCACAGACCTCGCTGTTCAACTTCATTGGGAAGACGGACCCAGTAAACCCTAAACCCTAAACCCTGAACCCTTCTTTGTGCATCGCCATCTTATGTATTACAACATCAAACCCTTATTAAACCCTTAGGCTGCTAAACTCTAAACGGACAGGGAAAGATACGCAAATGAACTCTTCGTGTTGGTTTCCCCAGTGAGGGTTTAGGGTTTAGGGTTTAGGGTTTAGGGTTTAGGGTTTGGGTGCAGGCAAGCGCTTCGTGCTGGTCGTCCAGGAGGAAGGAACAAACAACCAGAGCCTCCGATTCTTCCGCGTCAACGACGCCGCAGAAGGCAGTGAGGCTTTAGGGTTTAGGGTTTAGGGTTTAGCGTTTAGGGTTTATTGCGCGGGTGGTGGGTGTTTATGGTGGCTTCTAGGTTTCAGGGTGTACGATTAAGAATGTTTTAGAGGAGGGTTTTTGTTACATGGCGTTCTGGCTTTGTGGTTTAGGGTTTAGGGTTTGTTGTCTAGGGTTGTGGGTTTAGGGTTTGTGGTTTGTGGTTTATGGCGAGCGGTTGGTGGTTTAGGGCTCCTTAGGGTGTATTAGGGTTTACTATGGTGTATTAGGGTTTACTAGGGTTAGTGAGGATTTGCTAGGGTTTAGTCGCGTTTATTAGGGTTTGGGGGTTTATTAGAGTGTATTAGGGTTTATTCGTGTTGATTAGGATTTAGTCGGGTTCATTAGGGTTTATAAATTAGAGTGTGTTTCATGGTTCATCAGAGTGCATTAGGGTTTATATTAGGGTTTATTAGGGTTTGGCATGGTTGATTAGGGTTTATATTAGGGTTTATTAGGGTTGTCGTTTCTTTATTAGGGTTAATGCTTGTTTATTGATTAGGATTAACAATATAACAGTTAATAAGAGTTAACAAAACAACAGTAGTTAATAAGAGTTAACAATACAATAATAGTTAATAAGAGTTAACAAAACAACAATAGTTAATAAGAGTTAACAAAACAACAGTAGTTAATAAGAGTTAAGAAAACAACAGTAGATAATAAGAGTTAACAGTACTGATTTGGGGTGTATACAGACGTGGAGACGAACAAACGAGACACGGTGATGACGCATTCGTTCGACATCCCAAATTATATGAACTTTTTAAAGTGGTCGCCGTTCGGGTCCTACTTCGTCTTGGCCTCCCTCGGCACCTACGGCACTGTCATGTTCTGCCACCTCAACGACCAAGATAAAGTCGAAGTCAGACTCTTTACTGCTATTACTACTAATCCTCCTCCTCCTGCTGCTGCTGCTGCTACTGCTGCTTTGGGTGGTGATGTTGGTGGCGGTGGTGCTGCTGCTGCTGCTCGTGCTGCTGCTGTTGCTTTGGGTGGTGGTGGTGGTAGTTGTGCTGCTGGTGCTTTTTTGTCGATGTTTATATGCTCATCTCGTTGCTGTTGCTGCTCTGGGTGATGCTGCTGCTGCTCATGCTCCTCTCGGTGCTGCTGCTGCTGCTGCTGCTGCTGCTGCTGCTGGTGTATGTTCAGGTGCTGCATCAAGACGAGCACTACATGTGCAACGAGGTTCGCTGGTCTCACTGCGGGCGATACCTCGCAACTTGCGTTGTTATTCCCCCTGTAGCCAGCACTCAGGCCTATAGGCTTGAAGGCAGCACCGGCTTCAATATCTGGACCTTCCAGGTAGGGTTTAGGGTTTAGGGTTTAGGGTTTAGGGTTTAGGGTTTAGGGTTTAGGGGGGAGGGGTTAGGGAGTGGCATTGGGGAGGGTTGGGGTCAGAGAACGACATTTACAGCGCTAGACGTGAGGGTTCAGCATTTAGGGTTTAGGGTTTAGGGTTTAGGGTTGATGTTTGCTGCAGGGCAAGCTGCTCGAGAAGAATAAGAAAGAGTTCTTTTATCAATTCTTGTGGAGGCCTCACCCCCCTACTTTGCTCTCAGAAAAACAGCTGGACGACATCAAGAAGAGGATGAAGGAACACAGGTTAGGGTTTAGGGTTTAGGATTTAGGGTTTAGGGTTTTGGATTAGCGGGAGCTAGTCATGTAGCAGAGGGGGTTTAGGGTTTAGGGTTTTGTGTTGTTGTGGATATGTGCTTGGTTCTCGGCGGACGATGGCTCGGTGTGTTTGCTACTTGGTTTTAGTGTTGGTAAGGAACACAGGCTAGGGTTTAGGGTTTAGGGTTTAGGGTTTAGGGTTTTGCTGCAGCAAGCGGTACGAGGCTGAGGACGAGCGGCTGCGCAGCGAGAAGCGCCGGGCCTTCTTGAAGCAGCGTGAAGAAGAGTGTGAGCGGTTCCAGCAGATTCTCGATGAGCTGGAGGCTTGGAAGGCTAAGCATGTACGTCTTTGGGCTTTATGTATGAGGGTTTATGAGGGTTTACGAGGGTTTATGAGGGTTTGCGAGGGTTTATGAGGGTTTATGAAGGTTTATGAGGGTTTATGAAGGTTTGTGAGGGTTTATGAGGGTTTATGAGGGTTTACGAGGGTTTATGAGGGTTCACGAGGGTTTATGAAGGTTTATGAGGGTTTAAGAGGGCTTATGAGGGTTTATGAGGGTTTATGAGGGTTTACAAGGGCGTATGAGGGTTTGTTAACGAGGGTTTGTGGGGGTTTGCTGGGGTTCATTAGGGTTTAGGGTTTAGGGTTTAGGGTTTAGGTTGCCGCTGAGGCGGCGGGTATATAGCGGTGGTGGCGACTTCGTTATTGATTAGGTGCCGACTGATTCGCCGGGGAGTAGAGTTTAGGGTTTAGGGTTTAGGGTTTAGGGTTTAGGGTTTAGGGTTTAGGGTTTGGTGGTTGTTTGTTTTCAGCCCAAGTACGAAGAGTGGTGCCGAGCCTACGAAGAATTTGATTCGTGGTTTGAGTGGGAGTTGAAGGAAGAGATAATAGAGGAGGAGATAGACGTAAACCAAGAGATTATCTGCTGATGTTCTAATTAGGGTTTAGGGTTTAGGGTTTAGGGTTTAGGGTTTGAGGCGGGCACGCAACGGTTGCGATAGAGAGCCTATAGGCTCTCCAGCGGCGTTTAAGGAAAGCTCTGTATCCGATACCCTGAGTTTCAGGGTTTAGGGTTTAGGGTTTAGGGTTTAGCAAGGCTTTGGTGTCTTGACAGCCAAAGTATCGAACAACTGAGGATGTATTTTAATACCTTTGTCTGCTTGCGTTTACAAACCCTAAACCCTCGCCTTCTGACAGCTCAAACCCTAAACCCTAACTTTCAACACCCGGCGTTGGTTCCGAACTCTATTATTCTGTTGAGAAGAACGCTTCAAAGACCCGTCACTAGGGATTAGGGTTTAGGGTTTAGGGTTTAGGGTTTAGTGGTTACGATTAAGAGGCTAGGGTTTGGCGTTTAGAGTACTCCTTTGGCGAAGAATAACTCTTTAAAGCCGTAACCGTAGGGTTTAGGGTTTAGGGTTTAGGGTTTGGCGTTTAGGGTTTAGAGCACACCTTCACAGACGATCGAAGGGCAACAGCACTTCAAAGGCTTGCCGCTAGGGTTTAGGGTTTAGGGTTTGGGGTTTAGGGTATTGCCCTGAGACCTAAAGGCCTAAACCCTAAACCCTTGTAGAACTCGCTTAGAGCGCCAACTCAAAAACCCGTAGCGGTCCAAACCCTAAACCCTCTCAAACCCTAAACCCTAAATAAAAGTCTCCTATACCTCTCAAACCCTTTCATCCTCGATCTCAACAGCACTAAACCCTAAACCCCTTCAACTCCTCAAACTCTAAACCCTAAATAGATCTTTTCAACTTCTCGAACCCTTATCGTCGCCGGTCTCGTAAACCCTAAACCCTAAACCCCTTCAACTCCTCAAACCCTAAACCCTAATCCTCTGCAACCACTGAAACCCTGAACCCCTCACGAACCTCTTGAACCCTAAACCCAAAATATCTTTAAACACTAAAACCCTAAACCCCTCAAACCCTAAACCTCCTTTACCTCTCAAACCCTAAACCCTCAAACAGCACACTGCCCGAGCAATCCGTGCAGAGTGTGCGCACCGCCCCGGGGTCCTTTCGGCTGTATAGACAGGTAAATAGAGTGAAATAAATATAAAAATAAAATTAAAAAAAATAATATATTTATTTTAATACATTTATATATAATTGTTTTAATATTTCACAGCCACAGACACAACAGCGAACGGCGCAGGGGGACTCGCCGCGAGCTAGGGTCTAGGGTTTAGGGTTTAGGGTTTAGGGTTTGGGCTGCTGCGAAGCTGAAATATGAATTGTTGGCTTTACACTTCGTCTCCTTCGGGGTTTCGGGTGTGCATTGTTGTCTCTTTCTCAGCAACAACTGCGACCTCTCCTCCCCGAGCACCAAACCCTAAACCCTAAACCCTAAACCCTAAACCCTAAACCTACGATGGCGATCCCCCCCGCAGTAATCTTCCATTCCTGTTGACCACACAAGCCCAATTCTTGTGTTACAACATTTGAACCTCAAACCCTAAACCCTAAACCCTAAACCCTAACCTCTAAACCCTAAACCCTAAACCCTAACCTCTAAACCCTAAACCCTAAACCCTGAGCCTCAAGGGAGCTTGTCTTCGGTCCGCGTGGATGCTAAGCCTTTACAAGATCTAACAGCATCAACACAAACCCTAAACCCTAATGTCTCTTGCTGCAAACAGAAGACCCGGGATTTGCCTATTAGGGCAACTGCTCTTGCTGCTGCTGCTGCTGCTGCTGCTGCTGCTCCTGCTCCCCGTCTCCTTGCTTGCAGTATGCTGCTCTTCCTGCTGCTGTTGCTGCTGTTCTTGCTGCTGTTCTTGCTGCTGTTCTTGCTGTTCTTGCTGCTGTTGCTGCTGTTGCTGCTGTTGCTGCTGTTGCTGCTGTTGTTGCTGCTGCTTCTCCCATTGCTGCTGCTGTTGATTCTGTTGCTGCAGTTGGCGCTGCTGCTGCAGCTACTCACAGCCTTCATCTGAAAGGTTTGGGGTTTAGGGTTTATGATATAGAGTTCAGCGTTTAGGGTTTAGGGTTTAGGTTTTGTGTTTGTTTGTGTCTACTGTTCTGCAGACAGAATGCGAGGGTGTGCCGCCTTTTCTAAACCCTAAACCCTAAACCCTAAACACTAAGCCCTAGGCTCTGGTCGCTCTTTCGTACAGCGGTGCAGGGAGAGTTTCGTCTTCAAGTTCAAAACCCTAAACCCTAAACCCTAAACCCTAGCATGATTAACTTGAGTGTGTGTTATTATTTCCTATGTGAAGAAAGGCCCCAATATGCTGTCAGGCGAACCCTGCGCCCACCCCCGCAAACCCTAAACCCTAAACCCTAAACCCTAAACCCTAAACCCTAAACCCTAAACCCTAAACCCTTTTTTGTGTTTGTTTCAGTCGGCTCTGTTCCAGAGTTTTCTTTGCAGCTGCACTTCGGGCACAGCAGCATCCGAGCAAAGTCTTTCTGGCGGTTTTTGAGGAGGCTACATAGGAGAGCTCAAGGGTTTAAGCGAGGGTTTATCGGCCGAGTGTCTCTACAGTTTGCTGCTGCATTAAAAGAAGTTGAGCAAATTCAATCCGATGCTGCTGCTGCTCTTTCTTTCGCTGCTCTTGCTGCTGATAAAGACCTCAAAAACGGACGGCTTCAAAGAGATAGAGCCAAAGTCGAACACTTCATCCTTACCCAGTAACCCTAAACCCTAAACCCTAAACCCTAAACCCTAAATAACCTTAAATAACCCTAAGTAACCTTAAATAACCTTAAATAACCCTAAATAACCCTAAATAACCCTAAACCCTATATACCCTTAACCCCAAATAACCCTAAACCCTAAATAACCCTAAACCCTAAACCCTAAACTATAGACCCCCAAGAACTCTTTGGAACTCGAAAGTGCCATTAACAACCGTAATAAACCCTAAACCCTAAACCCTAAACCCTAAACCCTAAACCCTAAAGAATCCTAAACACTATAGTACACGTCGTCTTTCGACCGGGGCTAGCTGAAACCCTAAACTCTAAACCCTAAACCCTAAACCCTAAACCCTCAACCGTAAAGCCCAGGTATCTGAACAGCAAAACTGAGCGGAGTTCGGGTTTAGGGTTTAATGCATTTGAACACCAACACCCCGAGTACAAGGGTTTAGGGTTTAGGGTTTAGGGTTTAGGGTTTAGGGTTGAAGAGTGATGTTGTTTATGTTTAGGGTGGCTCCGTATTTGTTTTTTTTTGAAGTAGAGACAGCGCGTTTACCAGTTGATTGGCTGTCTGTACACCTGAAGAGTTCGCGTTATCTAAGAAGCAGAAAAGATTATTTATCTTTTTTGCTGCATCAGCGGAGACACCTGCTGCCGCAAGAGACAGAGACAGTCTTAGAGGCCCGCAGACCCTACGAAGCAACTGCAGCAGCACTTGCTGCACTTCGAAGGGAGCTTGTCTTCGCCCGTGTACTGTCTCCTTTTGAATCTGTCTCCGACCCGCCTGAAGCTCCTGCTGCTGCTGCTGCTGCTGCTGCTGCTGCTGCTGCTGCGGGTGCTGCTGCTGCGGGTGCTGCTGCTGCGGGTGTTGCTGCTGCGGGTGCTGCTGCGGGTGCGGGTGCTCCTGCAGCAGCAACAGCAGCAACAGCAGCAGCAACAGCAGCAGCAGCAGCAGGGGGAGAGGTGAAGAAAGAAGCAAATGCCACCCCACAGATTGGAGACGGAGGAAGGAGACAGCTTCAGCAGAAGGTTCAGAGACAATTGCAGCAAGATAAACTAGAAAAACAAAAATATAATTCAAACAAAGACAACAAAGATAAACATAATGCATTAACTGTCTCCCTTGCAGCAGCACAAAACGCTACACAACATCACAGCCAGGCTGTCCGCAAGCGAGCCCTAGAAGTCGTAGACCAGTAAACCCTAAACCCTAAACCCTAAACCCTAAATCCTAAACCGTAGTTACTTGATAGTGAGGCTTTCCTGCAGGCAGCAGAAGGCTTGACGAGTCTGTTCTCTGCTGCAAACGGAAAGGTTTAAAGCTCATACCCACGGTTGTGGGATTAGGGTTTAGGGTTTAGGGTTTAGGGTTTAGGGTTTGTGTTGTAGGGCAATTCGTTCTCAACGCCTAGATGTCTTGGCGGCTGTTTCTTTAAATGGCGTCGCTGGGGTTTGGGGCATAGACAGCAAACAGCGCAACTACCCGGTACCCCTAAACCCTAAACCCTAAACCCTAAACCCTAAACCCTAACTGTTTGATACTATGGTTTCAAGCCTAACGCAGAAGCGTCTGAGGGAGACACAATGAATAAAATAATAATAATAAATAAAATAATAATGATAAATAAAATAATAATAATAAATAAAATAATAGTAATAAATAAAATAATAATAATAAATAAAATAAGAATAATAAATATAATAATAATGATAAATAAAATAGTGATAATAATATAACAAGAATAATAATAATACAATTATAATAATAATAATAATAATAAATTATATACTTATTACTATTATTATTGCGTGCAATCTGTGCGATCTAAAAGAAATGCAGTTGTTGGTGTATAATAACAATAATACTACTACTAGCAACATAACAATAATAATAACAACAACAACAATATATTATTATTATTATTATAATTATTATTATTATTGCGTGCAGTCTGTGCGATCTAAAAGAAATGCAGTTGTTGGTGTCTCTGACGGCATAGTCTCTGCTTTAATCGCAGCAGTGCGCTTAGAGGGTCCTTCGCTTGCTGCTCGTTTTTATCAACTCAAGAGAAAAATATTAAAAGCAATGTATAATATTCAAGTAATTAAATATAAATAAATATAATTATAAATATATAAATAAATATAAATATAAATATGTATATATATATCTGTTTATTTATTTTTATTTAATTACTGGGTTCTTCGGCTTATTTATTTATTTATTTATTTATTTATTTATTTATTTATTTATTTATTTATTTATTTATTTATAACAAATCAACACAACATTATCGGTGCTTCGCTTATACAAGTGTCTGTTGGGATATTTATCTATAGAGTTTATAAACAAATAATAAATAGAAATATATATGCATTTATATATATATATATATATATATATATACATATACATATATATATATACA